CAATCACCAATACAGACTCTCTGGCGATTAGAGCTCCCATATATGAATTCGGGAGGACATAGCTCAGTCTAAAACAGATCTCAAACATTTGTCACACATGTGCTGTGTGAGGGCTGCTGTCCTGGAGGCTGGAGGCAGGGTAAACTGAGGAATACAGTCAGCACTCTGTATTTGCAGGTTATCATCTGCAGATTGGAAATATTTGGGGAAATTTTATGCCTGTACTTAAATGTGTAGACTTTTTTATTTATCCTTATTTTCTAAACAATATTGCATGGCAACTATGTACATAGCTTTCCCACTGCATCCAGTATTAAAAGGAACCTAGAGATGGCTTACTGTACACGGGAGGGTGTACATGGGTTCTATGCAAATGCGTGCCATTTTATATAAGGGACCTGAGCGTCTGTGGTTTTGGTATCTCTGGGGGGTCCTGAAACCATCCCCTGCAGACACAGCTGGATAATTGTATTGCCTAAATATCTTTATAAGTGTATAAATCTGTGAGAGATAATGATAAATAGATAGACAGACAGAAAAACATGGCACACACACATACTCCCACAATACTTACAGGCAGTGATAAGTGCTAGGAAGTTATTTAAAGCATGACAGGGGCAATAGGAACCAGAGCATCACAGTCCTGGGGAGCTGTTTTAAGAAGGACGAGGAAAGAGCGCTCAGTTTGAGCACTCAGTCATCAGTTGCTGGAACTGGATCCTTCCAGTTGGGAATTTGCACATTTTTTTTCCATGAAGCACAAACAGGAAATATTCCTCGCTTTTCAGGCCATCCAGTCTTGGTCCCCATCACAAGTTCCCAGCTCTTCCACTGTAGCACAAAAGAAGCCAAGGACAAACTAGAAACAAATGAGTGTGGCTGTGTCCCAATAAAACTTTATCAGTGGAGGGCCGAGTATAGTGGTGCACACTAATAATCCTCGCTCCTCAGGAGGTGGAGGTAGCAGGATCACAGCCCCAAGCCAGCCAGGCAAAAGCAGGAAATCCTATCTGAAAAACAAACTAAAAGCAAAAAGAGTGGTGAGTGGCTCAAGTGACAGAGCACCAGCCTAGCAAGCATGAGTCCCTGAGTTCAAACCCCAGTACTGAACACATTACAAAATATTATTCTTTGGAGTCTTAGCTTCAGCAGTCTAAAAATGGGAAAGCCACTTAGCTCGTGGGCTGTGCAGAAAGGTGGCAGGCTCACTTTGGCCCGTGGGCTGCAGTTTACAGACCCCTGGGTTGGAGCAGGCAGCCAGCTATACAGATTTCTCCTAGTATGGGATGAACGCCACTGTGTGCACAAGGCCAGGGGCCTCCTTTAGGGCCTGAGCTGCCAGACCTTTTCCTCCAGGCTTCTCCAGCATCCTTAAGCAAAGAGGCCCCCAAAATAAATGCCATGAGTCCAGAGCCTCCCTTGTAAATTTACAAGCAGGTGTTCTAGAGAGGCCTCCCTCAGGGCCATCCAGAGAGAACCAGTATCCCCCACCTGAAAGTCCTCCTTGCCCTTCTGCAGACACAAAGCCAGAAAAGGACACCTGCAACTGCAGCCCACTAGTGCCCTGTCCCCAACATCACTGGCTCCTGAATATTACAGGTCTGCATTCAGAGGGGAGCCCCTGGGCCCCCTCTCAGCCAAGTCATTTGCATCTTCTTTGTAGTGCTCCTGATTGTTCTAATAATATCCCCACCCCCACCCCGTTTGTCTCCTCCTGAGTCCTCATATCACTGCTGACTAATTAAAACATCAAAGTCTCAAGTACAACAGCCCTGCCAGAGGTCCCCCAATGCCTGACTTCTGGTGTGCAGTCCTACCAGGCCCAGAGCAAAGGCGGTACGTGCTCTTAACCGTCATGCTTTGCCCATCTGGGGTCTTCACATTTGGCCTCTTTTTGTCACTCCCCTTGAGCCCTAGCAGGGACAGCTGGTGGCTGTGCCCACCAGCCATACACCACACCTCCTTCTCCTGCCTGGTCACCTCCCACCCGGCTACCTTCCCAGGGCCTGGGCCAACACCAGGTTTGTCATCCCCACTCTGGATTCTGAATGCTGTCCAGCCTCCATGGCGTTGACTTGGATGGCCCAAAGAGTCACTAGGCTGGCTGAGTGAAACCTAGTATGTAGGGAGGATGGCTGGGCAAGGTGGCCTTTATTCCTCAGACACAGGTTGTAGGCATAATCAGAGGGACACAGCCCTGCAAAAGGTGGCTCAGGTGTGACTCCCATCTTCTCGGGCAGACAGGAGTGGAGACAGACCGAGAAAGAAGGATGGAGGATGTCTGGCCAGGCCTTCGAAGGAAGGGCAGCTGTCTGTCTGCATTTGCAGCTGCATTTGGAGGCATGGGTAAAACCCCATGGAGTCCAGTGAGCCAGAAAGTACAAATGGGACAAAGAGAATCAAACCTCCCTTGCCTGCACAGTAGGGATTTAGAACAGTGTCTTAATCCATTTTTCTGGTGCTATCACTGAATGCCATGGGCTGGGTGATTATAAAGAAGAAAGGTTTTTCTACCTCATGGTTCTGGGAGCTGGGAAATCCAAAAGCATGTGGCCAGCCTCTGGTGAAAGCTTCTTGTTGCTGGAAAGCATCCCTTGATAGGACAAGCATGCTAGCTTGGGTCTCTTCTTTTTTTTTTTTTTTTCTTTTTGGTGGCACTGAGGTTTGAACTCAAGGCCTTGCACTTGCTAGATTCTACCAGTTTTGCCCAGTCCTCCTATTTATACTTCCCTTGTAGCTGGGGTGTCAGGTGTGCTCCACCATGCCCGGCTTTTATTAGTTGAAATGGGGTCTTGCTAACTTTTTGCCTGAGCTGACTTCAACCTGTGATCCTCCCGATCTCTGCCTCCTGAGTAGCTGGGATTACAGGGGTGAGCCACCATGCCTGGCTTACTGTTCTTCTAAGGCTATAATAGGGGCCCTACACTCATGACCTCATCTGACCCTAACTACCTCCCAAGCACCCCACCTTTAAATGCTATGTGCAAATGACTTCCGGTATTAAATTTCCAGTCCATGAGCCTTGGGGGTCACTTCAAACCACAGCATACGATGTGGCAGTTGCAGTCCTAACAACACTAGGAACTGTTCTAGCACAAACGTAGTAAGTAGCAGCTGAAGTTTAGGAGGTGAAGGAAGAGATGACAGTGGCTTGGTCAGGGTGCTGGCAGATAGAGGAGGAGAGGGCTGGGGGAGGGGGTCAGTTCTAGAGCTATTTGCAAGGCCAGTGTGATGGGAGCCCATGAAGGACAGGGTGGGGGACACAGAAGAGGGTGCTGTTCAGGACAGCGCCCCCTGTGGCCAGTCCCGGTACTGCAGTGGGATGATTGCCACAGCCAGGGCAGGACCACGTGGAAGACGGTGAGTCCTGGTGTCTTCTGTCGGTCCTCTACCGCGCCCCTCATCGCTCTTCCAGAGCTGCTGTCCCACACACAGCCCAGCGTGGCGCTCTGAATCCTTTAGCGCAGTGCTTCTGATCACGGGTCATAGGGTGACCGCAGTGGGTCTCTCACCTCAGGACCATTGCACAAGTGCACAAGCTCTCCTCTGTGCCTGCTTCTGCTTCTCTGTTTGTGTCACTCATCCTTCTGGCCTTGACCTAGAAGCCAAGAGTGCTCTGGGTTCAGTGTCTCTTCCATGCACTCCCATAGTCCCCTGAATGCAGACAGTGTCCCGTGTCGCAGGGTCCCTTGCAGTCCAGAGCAGTGGCTCGCTGGATTGTCACACACACATGCACACACCCTGGACTGACTTCTGCAGGAGCAGAGGTCACATCTGTCTGGTTTATGGCTATAACTCTGACCTGACCCTGGCTGTCTTGCTGGAGACAAAGGAGGTACTCAACAAACAGGTTGAATGAGTGAATAAACGAACGAATGAACCATACCAGCCAAGAGGCTGGGTCAGCAAGCAATGAAGGACGTGGTTTGGGGGCCACCCTGCCTTGACCTGCTCCTGACTCCAGCTTGCTAGCTCTGAGGTCTCGGACACTTTGCTGACTTCTCTGCTCCTCAGTCTTCTCATCTCTGTAGTGGGTAAGATTGGGCTATGGTAAGCGGTCAGGGCTCACAGAGCATTGGTTCTCAGTCTTAGTCCTCCAGGACCTCCATCCCGGTTCCATCCTGGTCTCAGCTGGTTAGTCGTAATTCACAGCCGTCCACACCCCCATCTGAGCGTCTCAAATCCAATGAGGTGTGAACTTGACCTCCTTCTGCCGTCATCTCCTTGTCCCACGCTGGCTTAGTGTCTCCTCCCTTGCTTGGCCTTCACAAGCCAGTCTCTTACCATTGCTCCTCTGCCCAAGCAAGTAGAACAGCTACCAAGAAACACTCAATATGGACATGACCCTATCCACAAGGTCCAAGGGGATGCGCTCACAGTGGGCCTCTTGCCTCCCCCCCCCACCCCTTCCCTGCCTACCAAGTAGCCTGTTTTATTTGCAGAGTAGAAGGCGAAGGGGGGGGGGGCTGAAGGTGTTCAGGATGGAAGGAACAGTGAGTGCAAAGGCCCTGGGGCAGGGGCAGGTGTAGCATCCTTGAGAATATTTTGTGCTTTGAAACTTTCCGTTTTCCTAGCACTTGCTAGAAATGGTAAATTCGGGCTGTAGCAGGAAGGCCCGAACATCCAAATAAATGGATCTACCTTCCTCGGCCCTGGGAACGCTCATTATTCAGAAAGGCTGGTAATTTCCTTTCAGTCATTTATTCATTCAACAAACATTCACTGAGTCCCTATGCAACATGCCAGACCTCAAAGAGATCAGCTTTATTTCTCACCTTCTTTCCCTAAAGCAGAACCTAAAAGGCCTTCACCATGCTTCCTTCTGTGTAAGTGGGGAGCCAGGCCTCCAGGAACCTCAGACCTGGCACCTGCACCCAGTACAGACAGAAGGTGACTCAGAGAAGATCCCAGAAACATCAAGGTCTCCACGACCCAGTGGTGCCAATTTTACAGCCGCCTCCCAACCCCACTTATTGCTCTCCCTCCCTTTTCTTCTCCAGCCCCCTGCCTCGGGAAGACAGTCCCCCACCAAGAATGGCAGCCCCTCCAAGTGCCCCCGTTTCCTCAAGGTCAAGAACTGGGAGACTGATGTGGTCCTCACCGACACCCTCCACCTTAAAAGCACGCTGGTGAGTGTCCTGGATCCTGGCAGGTGTAGCCATCCTGGATCCTGGCGGGTGTAGACCATCCTGGATCCTGGCAGATGTAGACCATCCTGGATCCTGGCGGGTATAGACCATCGGGCTAAGTCTCAACTGTACGCTATCTGCGTTCAGTGCTGGGTTTGTCCCTTGTGCAGCCGTCCTGTGTGTCACAGGGTGAGGTAGGGTACCCAGCATCACCCTCCAGCATCAGCCCTGGCCCATACCCACGAGGTACCGGGACCCCATCCAACTTTCAACAGCCACAGAGGTCACCAGACATTGACTGACGTCCCCCAGGCAGGAAGTTGATCCCTGTTTGAGGTCCACTGATGGACACTCACTTTTTACCTGTGCACCTTGTACCCAACAGAACTTAAGGGGGCTCACCCACTCCAAACACACATTCTGACCACAAATGGTGCATGAAACAAACCCTGTCGTGACTTCACAGTGTGTCCTCTAAGTTTCTGTATCATATTTTGAACAGTCAACACACCAATAGATTGCTTTCAATTTTTGTTGAGAGCAAGCATTCCTCTTGCTGGAATGTTGTATCAAGCAGGCCCAAAGATTCAGCAGCTGAAAACAACTAGGGTTTTCTAATGTCTGCGGGCTTGCTAGGGTCCGGACGAGGCAAGGTTGATCTGAATAGGACTATCTCACGCACCTTGCAGTCACCTAAGGGGACAGCTTAGGAAAGTCTGGTCTAGGATGTCCCTAGCCGGGATATAACTGTGGTCTGTGTGGTCAGTCCTCTTCCACCAAGCTAGCCTGGGCTTCTCACATGCAGCTGCAGAAAAATTCAAAACCTCTTGACCTTGTCCAAACATGGACATAGTCCAGGGTCACTTCCACCACATGCTAGGGGCCAAAACCAGCCCAGGTCCCAGGGGTGCTGTAAAGTCACCCTGCACGCAATCTATCACACGCCTTCCACTGAGCGACTGTGTCCACTGTATTAGAACGAGAACCCATTCTCCAATGTGGGCAGCAATGTCTACTTCCTAGTCATGACGCCCCCATTCCCCTGATTGGCTAATGGAACACCTCAGGAGCCTCGAACTTGACTTATCTACCTACCTCGGTGCAATGGTGATTGGGATTTGACCACTAATCCCCCTCTGGAAGTACAGACCGGGTCAGCTCTACCCTGAAGACCAGGTCCTGGCCTGCAGCCCAACACCTGCCAACCCCGGGTGGAGCCTCACTCTATCGGCCCCCCCCTCTCTCTTGGCTTCCAGGAAACGGGGTGCACAGAGCACATCTGCATGGGCTCCGTCATGCTCCCTTCTCAGCACACACGGAGGCCCGAGGACGTCCGCTCCAAGGAGCAGCTCTTCCCCCTCGCCAAAGACTTCATTGATCAGTATTACTCTTCGATTAAAAGGCAAGTGTGTGTCAACTCCCAAGAGCCTGGGGTTCACCAGTGAGTGCCAGGGACAAAGACACCAGCTCCACCTTCACGGACAGCTGAGCCAAATCCATAGTGTAAGGGATTCTGCCCGCCACATGCAGGGGTCGAAAACCGGCAGCCCGAGGGCCAACCCCAACCCCCAGAAGGGTTTTTGCTTGGCCTGCAAAGGGTTGATGCAAACTGGAAACTTTGCAAGCAATTCCATGCTCACACCTGTTCCCCAGAAGACACACGTGAGAAGGTGTGTTCACTGAAACATTATTTATAGTATGAAAAAAATTAGAATTAAAACCAAGTATGGTGGTGCACACTTATAATCTCAGCATTCAGGAGGCTGAGGCAGGAGGATGATAAGCTCTAGGCAGCCTGGGCTACAGAGTGAGAGCCTGGGTCAAAACACATACACAGCTGGGTGTGGTGGTTCATGTCTATAATCCCAGCTACTCGGGAGGCAGAGGTAGGAGGATCAAGAGTTCAAAGCCAGCCCATGTAAAGCCAGTGCAAGACTCTATCTGAAAAACAGACTAAGAGCAAAAGGACTGGGGGTCTGGCCAGAGCAAGGACTTGGGGTGCTGAATTCACCCCCCAGTCCCACAAGCACGCACACACACAATTACAGAACCCACAGGAAACCACCTCCTCTCCACCAACAGGCCATGGGGAAGCGAGTATGATAGGTTTCGGACGTCAGGTGCAGGTTGAGAATCCTTCATCCAAAATGCTTGGGACCAGAAGTATTTCAGGTTTCACAGTTTTCCAGGTTTTGTGATATTTGCATAGATTTTACCAGTTGAGCGCTCCAACTCCAAAAATCTAAAATCTGAGTGGTAGAGTGTGTGCTTGGCATTCACTTAGCACAGCACACGTACAGAAGCTTTTTAAACACGGGAATAACATCGTGCGTGGTTTATACACGGCGAGCAGATAAGAAAAGGTGTGAGACCAGTGTGTGGGGGGCACGCCTGTAATCCCAGCACTCGGGAGTCTGAGGCAGGAGGGTCGTAAGTGTGAGGTCAGCCTGATTACACAGGGAGAACCTGTTTAGAAAAACAAACCAAAATAAACAAAAAAAAGGGAGCGTGAGTAGCAGTTACTTCTGGGGACACAGGGCCCCGATGGGGACATCATCCACACGCAACTAGGATACTCTCTTATCCAGGCACGTGGTTCTCTTTATACTATTCTTTGTGCCTTCCTGTAAGTCTGCAATTTTCCATGATAATGTTTTTGGCAGTACTGGGATTTGAACCCAGGTCCTCACACTTGCTAGGCAGGTGCTCTACCACACCTCCAACCCTTTTTGCTCTGGTTATTTTTGAGATGGGATGACAGGAGTGCACCCCCACACCCAGCTTCCTCTGTTGAGATAGGAGTCTCGTGAACTTGTTACCCAGGCTGGCCTCGAACCATGATCCTTCAGGTCTCCACCTCCTGAGTAGCTGGGATTACAGACGTGAGCCACTGTGCCAGACCTTCCACTTGAGTGCACAGTCTCTGCTTTTTGCTCAAACTGTCGCATGCTGAAATCAGAACTTTCTGTAACTCTGCCTTCCCGCGATAGCTCCTCCCTTCCACCACCACTATGGTGTTGTCAGCTTTCCATTGCTGTGACAAAATACCTGAGAGACTCAACTTCAAAGGAGAAAAAGAGTTACTTTGGCTCACAGTTTTAGAGGCCTCAGCCTCTGGTTGTGTGACCGCATTGGCTTTGGGACTGTGGCGAGGCGGCACATTGAGGTGGGAGCACCTAGCACAGGGAGCTGCTCACATCATGGCAGCCAGGAAGCAAAGAGAGACACAGGCAGGAAGTGGGACCCCAATATGGCCTCTGAGGCCCCACCCTCAATGGCCTCACTTCCTGATGCCACAGATTTGGCTCCAAAGCCCACATGGACAGGCTGGAAGAGGTGAACAAGGAGATCCAAAGCACCAGCACCTACCAGCTCAAGGACACCGAGCTCATCTATGGGGCCAAGCACGCCTGGCGAAACGCCTCCCGCTGTGTCGGCAGGATCCAGTGGTCCAAGCTGCAGGTGGGTGGTGCAGCTCTGATACCTGGAAGACCCTCACATGTGGGGATGACAGAAGGGGAGCATGTGGAGATTTGAGGGGTGTCAATTCCTTTTACCTGTTGCCCATAGAAACCTGTAAGTACCTCCTGCTAACCCATTGCACCCTTGGTCCACCTCTAAGATTTGGGGCAGACCTTGATTAGTCATGTCTTATTCAGCTAATACTGTTTTTCTGTTAAATGATATTTGCATATCACCTGGTAGAATTTACGCTCTCTGGTTTGCCGCAGACCTCACCACTCCCTTTTGTCTTCTTATTTATGTTATCTGGCCACTCCCTGAATATATTAGTTTCTGGTGTGGTTTTATTCTAGGGAATAATTTAACGTTGCAAGTAGATTAGTTCTCAGGACCAGGAGGATTTTTGTGTTTGTTTTATTTTTAATGCCTAAAATCTCTAGTAAACAGAAAAAGTAACCATCCCATAAAACTCTACCCTTTATTCGCCATCCCTCTCATCTTCATTTACACCCTGTGCCTGCTTTTAGGGCACTTTTCCTGGTCTGATTGACCTTGATCAGCTAGAAAAAAGAACATATAAAACCCAGCGTGGGCTTCATTGATGAGATGCTTCCTGCCCCGGGCGGGGGGCAGAACCTGCAGAGGGCTATGGGTTCCCCTGAATGGGAAGTCTGCACTGCAGTCACTGAGTGGAGGGGGGGCCAGGGGGCCATCAGTCCCAGCCTGCACCTCTTCCAGGTGTTTGATGCCCGGGACTGCACAACAGCTCATGGGATGTTCAACTATATTTGCAACCACGTCAAATATGCCACCAACAAAGGTAACCTCAGGTGAGCTACCTGCCGGGGCCTGGGGAGGGGGTCTGTGTCCCCACAGCATGGAGCCTTGGCTCAGAGTGGCTTAGCTGCCAGAGGAGATGTGCCCTCCACTTAGGGAGATGGGCCAGACTGGGAGAGGTGTCCCGGCCTTCCACAGCCCCTGTCCCTGGTCTTCCAGGAGGAGCAGAGTCCCAGGTGGTAGTTTGCAAAACTACAGTGATACGCATTGCTTAGCCTTCAGTTCAGATTCGGAACCCCATTATTTGTGATGACCTTCTGCTCTGTTGCTCAGAGCTGACCTCAAATTCCCCCTGGTTTAAAAAGCAGTCTTTTCCCCCACCACTAGGGGCACCGTGCCTTCAGGTGCCACCAAGCCAGGCCAGGCCTTGAACTCTTTGCATCAGTACAAAGAAAAAAACACAGGAAGCAGATGTAGGCAGGGTGGCATCCGTGGTCAATGGACCAACGGACTGACCAATGGACCGATGAACCGATGGGCTGGAGGCTTCCACACTGGCTGGTCTCAGCTGGAGAGAGCAGCTGGGGTCCCCACAGACAGCTGGCTGCACTTGTCAATCCTGCTGGCTGGCGTCTGTCCCCAGTTGCTGAAGACAAGCCCCATCTTGGGCTGTTACAGGGCTGCTTCAGAGATATTCCCACGACAGCCCTCACCACTGAGCTGCCCTGAGCTCCTGCACCGGTGGCTGACTTCATAAGCATGGGATTTACCAGCCAGGGGGAAAGGGGCCGAGGCGAGGAGTTGGTACTTAGGTCTCTTTCCCCGGTGATCCCTCCCTGAAAGAATCCTCACCATTAATGGCCTCCCTGCCAAGGTTAAGGAGCCAGAAGCTCCTGGAAACTCTGGTGGTTTCTGAATGGTGCTGTGAGCAGGTGGTAGGAGGGGTCACCCGGGTCTGGCAGTGCATCACCACCTTTTTTAATTGTCTACTAAGGGATCTTCATGACAGTTCCTAAAGAAAATATTTAGCTGAGCACAGTGGCTCATCCCTGTAATCCTAACTACTCAGGAAGTGAGAATGGGAGGGTCACAGTTTGAAGCTAGCCCTGGCAAAAAGTTAGCCAGACCCTATCTCAACCAGCAAGCCAGGTTTGGAGGTTCTTACTTGTAATCCCATCTTCAAGTGGGGGCAGAGATAGGAGGATTATTGTCCAAAGCTGGCCAGAGCAAAAATCTCAAGACCTATCTGAAAAATAAACTAAAGCAAAAAGGTCTGGGGGTGGCTCAAGTGGTAGAGCACCTGCCTAGCAAGCACGAGGCCCTGAGTTCAAACCTCAGTACCTCAAAAAAAATTCAGTTGACTTTTTTCTAAGTTTTAGGCCTCGTGTCTGAAAATAAGGAAAGTCCTGAGGGAATGTATACGTGAACAGAGAAATTGTTTCTCTCTCTTTTTTTTTTTTTTTTTTTTTGAAGTACTGGGGTTAGAACTCAGGGCCTGCATCATGAGCCACTTTACCAGCCCTTTTTTGTGATGGGCTTTCTTCAAGATAGGGTCTCTCAAACTATTTGCCCAGGCTAGCTTTGAACAGTGATCCTCCTGATCTCTGCCTCCTGAGTAGCTGGGATTACAGGTGTGGGCCACCAGTGCCCAGCTAGCAATAGTTTCTTCGTAAGAGAAGAAGGAAGGCCAAAGAGGAGGGAGAGAGAAAGATCATATAATTTAAACAACACCGTGCATTCAACCTGCCCCTCAGAGACACAGGAAAGGAGGCTTCTGTGTGTCCTGTGTCTGTTTTCTCGGTTCCTGCACAGCAAGGAAATGTCACACCCTCGCTGGCTGTGTGTGACTCTGCTGTTTGTAGACATGCTTTTTAAATACACACAGAGATTACACAAGCCAGATTTATCTGGTGCTCAACCAAACACACACCATTGTGTCTGAAGTAACGGAAAAACACTGACTCATTCATTCTGTGTTCGTCTCCAAAACGGCACTAAGAGACTCTTGCTAAGAGATTTTTAAGAGCACCTCTGTCTCTGTGCCTGTCACCTTCAATCCCAACTCTAAACTCGCCCCCAGGTGTGACACCCACTCCTGCAGTATCAAATGCTACATTCTCTTGTCTAGAGGGTAAGACCTAAAAAAATGCCCTCAGAAGGAAAGGTCAATGAATTTACCTGGGGCGCTGTCTGGGAATGTGAATTTGAGTCAGGTGTTGGATGTGGACATGTGACAGCAGAGAAGGGTTCCAGGAAGGGGTGATAGGACAGCATTCTGGCAGGAGTCCATAAGGAAGACCTGTCAGCCATGGGTTGACCTGGAGATGTGATCCCTGCTGGGTGTGGTGGTGCACACCTGTAATCCCAACACTGGGGAGGCTGAGATAGAAGGATCTTGAGTTCAATGCCAGCCTGAGCTACATAGTGAGATCTCTAAAACTAAAATAAAAAGTGTGATCCTTGTGTTGATACAAGAAGCCAGAACAATGGTTTCTGTAGCCTGGGATTTGATCCAGTGACAGGCGAGTCCAGATAGCAAGAGCCCCTGGCAGGAGATAACCTGGAACCACACGGTGAAAAGGTGACCCTCCTTCAGTTCTGTTTTCAATCCTTCATTAATGCCAAGGAGCAAGAGCAGGGCTCCAGCTAGGGGCTTTCCTCTGAGAATGGCAACTTTAAAGAATTTAATCGGGGCCGCCTAGTTAGGCAGTGAGGACAGTGGCTGGCCACCTGCCATTTTTCTCTTCAGTAAATAAACGTGATTCAGAATACAAGTTGGTTTCTTTTGGTACAGTACAGGGGGCAGGAGTTAGGTGGGATATGTTATCAAGGTACCTATCCCGACTTGCAATATACCAGCCAGTGAAATGAGTTTTACAAAAGAGAAAGTTTGTTCACAAGGAGGCCATGTGTGTGACAGGGCCTGGGGACACTTTTGTGCTAGTGCGGGAAGGAGATCGGGGGTTATCCAAGAGCAGGGGAAGTGGATGAGGTTTTCCCTCTGTTTCAAATGAGAGGTGGTGTAGCTGAGTCCTGGCTCTGGGGACTGCAGTGGGCTGTTGGAAGACTCAGGGCCTGATGTTTCCCTGGTGATGACCTGACACAAAAAGAGCAACCTGGGCCAGGCATGGTGGTGCACACCTATAATCCCAGCTACTTAGGAGACAGAGACAGGAGGATCGTGGTCCTAGGTCAGCCCAGGCAAAAAGTATGAGACCCTGTCTGAAAAAGGACTAAACAAAAAAAGCCTGAGAGTATAGCTCCAGTGGTAGAGTGTCTGCTTAGCAAATAAAAAGCCCTGAGTTCAAACCCCAGTACTGCCAAAAAAAACTTCCCTGGAAGACCAGCTCAAGTCAGTATTGTTATAAAGGTCCCCGGCTAAGCCACCAGGCTGTCATTGTGCCTCCACCCGCCCCCTTCGCAGACGAGAGAGGTTCAGATGGAGGAGAGGGCCGGGCTCCTCCCTTTCCACAGCTGCTCCCTGAATTCTGGGGACCTTAGCTCTGTCCTGAGCTGTTGACCCAGGCAGCATCTTTTCCAGAATGTCCCCAAAGTGCAGGTCCCCTCCTCCCCCATGCCACATGTCCTCCCTCCTGTGCCCCACAGGTCGGCCATCACCATATTTCCCCAGAGGACCGATGGCAAGCACGACTTTCGGGTCTGGAACTCTCAGCTCATCCGCTACGCCGGCTACAAGCAGCCTGATGGCTCCACCCTGGGGGACCCAGCCAATGTGCAATTCACAGAGGTGCGAGCAGGCACCCCGACCCGTCCCCACCTGGCTCTCAGGCCCCCCACTTTTTCCTTTTGGCCTTATCATCCTGGGGAATGGGCAGCCAGTTGGCCACAGTTCACTGTTCCCTAGACTTGCTGCCCCAGTCCTCCCTCCAAATTCCAAATTCTCTGATGAAAACTCTCATCATAGACTGGTAGACTGAGGCCAAGTGAGTTTTCCAAGGCAGTGAAATGAGTAAAGGAAAAGCGGGAGCCACAGGGCAAACATCCCGTCTCCCACAGGAAAGCAGCTGATACAGGAAGGCCGGTCGAGCATCCTTCTTTCCTGAGCTGGTGATAAGGTCTCACTCACGTCATCATTTGTGGGTTTATACAATGACTCCAGCCCCCAGCTCTTCCTGGGGTACACTTGATTCTCTCCCAGACAGCAGCTCACCCTGATTGCTGGTAGCCCCCAGCTCTTCCTGGGGTACACTTGATTCTCTCCCAGACAGCAGCTCACCCTGATTGCTGGTAGCCTAAGTCATTCACAAAACCCACCGAGAGAGCTGACCAAACCTCCCTGCCCCGGGCTTTCCTGCCTGGTGGTTGTTGGGACAGCCAGTAACAGGTAGCATGGTAGCCAATGTGAACTGTGCCCACAGGGGCCCCACGGCCACCCCCATGCCTGAGCACCTCCCACTTAGCACCCACCCCACCCAGACCTTCTCTCTGTCCTCTCCTCCCACCCCTGGGACCTCCAAGATGAGTTGCCAAACCCAAGGGTCTTCCCCACACACACACACACCACCACGCTGTGGTTTCTTTTGTTTGTGGCTTTTCTTATTGAAATGTGATTGTCCCTGTAACCAGGGCGACCAGAAGTCGCACCTGTGTGGTGGAAGGCGCAGCCAGACTCTGCCCCACTTGGCTGAGCGCGAACTGCAGACTTGGCTGACCTTGGCTTTGCCTCCTGCCATGCCACAGCCTCTTCCTCCCATTCTGTTGCAAGCAGGAGACTCTGAGTTCAAACCCAGAGCCGCCTAAATAAATAGGTAAATAAATAAATAATAAATAAAATGAGGATGCTGATAAAATTATTTTCACCTCTTTTTTGAAACACAGCTGCTTGACACTGAAGCTACTTATGTGATTCTCACTAGATGGCCAGTGGTCAGTTGCCCCAACAAGGCCACATTCAGTAATTCTTCATCGATCTCAGTAGACAGTCTTTGTATATTGTGGCCCCTCATGCAAGCACACTGCAGACACTACAATGAGTCCCCTGGGAGTTCCCGGTGGGCACAGGGACCCTTGTTGGAGAAAAAGGCTGCCTTGTACCCCACGGGACCATGAGAGTTGTGCTGGTTCCGTGGCGAGGCCAGGGAGGCTCTTAAAAGGGAGGAAACACTGCAAAAACCTCAGAGGTGACCTCTAGGGCTGGCATAGGGATCCCTGCTCAGCCCCAAGCCACACAGGGCCACCGTGCTTGGAGGGGTGTTTGAGGGACCAGCAGCGATGTGAACAGGGGTCTCTCTGCAGATCTGCATCCAACAGGGCTGGAAACCCCCAAGGGGCCGCTTTGATGTCCTGCCACTCCTGCTCCAGGCCAACGGCAATGACCCTGAGCTCTTCCAGATCCCCCCGGAGCTGGTGCTGGAAGTGCCCATCAGGCACCCCAGGTGAGAGCAACTGGTGTGGGAGGTCTGCCCAGTGCCTCTCTCTGTCCCTCTGCCTGGCCCCAACAGGCTGCAGAGGCATCTTTCTTCCTGTCCTCACAGCAGGTAGGATGGGCACTGCCCCCTCTTCTGACTCACAGTCACCCCACTCCTAAGCAGTCACCAGACCCTGGGGGTGGAAGAGCAGAAGCACCTACTGTCATGCCTTGGGGACAAACACTCAGTAGAGGAAACCATTTAAAACCCTACTGATGACTGGGCATAGTAGTACACACCTGTAAACCCAGCTACCCAAGAGGCGGTGGTAGATGGATCCTGATCCAAAGCAAGCCTGGGAAAAAGCCCAGGACCTTATAGCAGATAAACAAACTGAAGCAAAAGGGTTGGAGATGTGGCTCAACTGACAGAGCACCTGCCAAATGCAAGGCCCTGAATCTAAGATAAACAATATGTAGATGTAAAATATTTTAAAAACCAAAGTTAATTTTTTAAAATCCATGATGAGGTATATCACTACATTTTAAATAAAAACAGGACCAGCTCAGAACTGAGATTAGGGGAGTCATGCAAGCACAGAGAAGGATCCTGTCTATTTAAAGTTTTAATATTTTATTTGGCCTATGTGTACCTATTGCATTCATTTGTATTTCTTATAAACATTGAGTTAGTACTGGAGGAGTGGCTTAAGTGATAGACCGCCTGCCTAGCAAGCATGAGGCCCTGAGTTCAAACCCCAGTACCGCCAACGAAAAAAAACAAAAAGCCACATTGCATTAATTTTAAATCTTGCAATAATGACATTGATCTTATTTATTGAGTCATATTGGAGTCCCTTTAAATTTTGCTTCCTACACTAGCACCTCACTTGCCGCACCCCAGTCCCTGCCCTGGCAGAAGCAAGTGTCCTGAGTCTCCTGAGGCTGCCTGGCTTCTGAGAAGCACCTGTGTCCTCAGTGACCTTGACCATGGTGCACTTCCCCTCCTCTTGTTCTCCGCAGTTTATTCTTCTCACTCCAGCCAGGCATTGCCCTGGCTTTCACTTGATCTCTGCCTCTGTGGCTTTACCATCTCAAAGAGGAGCAGTTTTACATTCACTGCTCCCCAAATAATCACTTAATCTCAGCAAAGTGCTGAGAAGGAACTTTTTAAAACTTTTGTATTAGGGTATAGTCATGGTACGGTAGAGGGGGGTGTTCACTGTGACAATTCCAAATAGGCTCATATTGTACATCTCTCCCCACTCGACCCCCTCCCCACCCCACCTCTAGCAATTTCCAGGTTTCTTAGTTCTATTTCGTGTAAGTATATAAAGTCCATCCACCATATTCCCTCACCTTCACCTCCTTCATTCCCCCTCCCCCTCCCACAAGCACCACACACACACACACACACACACACACTGTACCTATTTTACAGTCCTGTCGTTCATCATTAATATTTAAGTCAGTGTTCAAAGGGGTGTCTCGATGTGTCCCCACTGTGAGTACCCTTTACTTTGGTTTCTGCGGAGGAACTTTTATGGTGCCTAGAAATGTGAACTCACCACACCCAATTGGCCATGAGGAAGATTTTCTAGAATTAGCTGAGAGTTGAGTACATGAAGAAGAGGAAACACTAAAGGAAGAAGGAAACCCTCAGTGAGAAGGAGCTGCCTGTGCAAAGGCCCCAGGGCATATGTGAGCTCTGGGGGTTGCAGGAGTGTGAGGTTTCCCTCTGGACTTGCTCTCGGTGGGGGAGGGGGGTTGATAGACCAACTGCAGCCCAAGGCTGTCATTCCTGGGACTGAACGTCCCTTTGAATCACCTGGGGAACCTGTTTTAAAAATACATACTCTCGGGCCCTAGCTGTGGAACCTGTGATTCCACAGAGCAAAAGGTAGAGTGTGGACATAGTCCTGGTGGATCCCTTGCCTGTGAGTGTCCCCAGTCTGAGAATGTCCCACCCCTGGGAATGCTCAGGAGACACCTGTCCTGTCTGTCATGAGCTGGACCATCTTGCTGTCCGCAGGTTTGACTGGTTCAAGGACCTGGGGCTCAAGTGGTATGGCCTCCCTGCGGTCTCCAACATGCTGCTGGAGATCGGTGGCCTGGAGTTCAGCGCCTGTCCCTTCAGCGGCTGGTACATGGGCACAGAGATCGGCGTCCGTGACTACTGTGACAACTCTCGCTACAACATCCTGGAGGTGAGGCCCTCCCTGTCGCCACCACTGGGGCACATCAGGCAGGGGATATTGCTCAATATCCCCTCCTGGCCACTGGACTTTGGAGGCTGGAAACCAGAAGGGGTTGGAACAGATTGCAATTCCGGTGAACCTTCTGGAAATTCCAGAAGCATCCAGGTCTTTACACTGGTAAACCACAAAGCACCAGTGTGCTATAATGGTTTAAGCACCACATCTGTACAGTTGTCTCTTGATGTCTGCAAGGATGAGTTCGGGGTCTGCTCCAGGTAGGAAAATCTACAGATAGTCAAGTCCCTTCTGTAAGATGGCACAGCACTTGCCTATAACCTGTGCACTTAAACCATCCCTCAGTGACTTATGATACCTAATGCAATAGAAATAGTTGTCATACTGTGTGGTTCAGGGAATAAGGACAGGAAAAAATGTATGTACAGAAGCCATTTTTTTAATATTTTGGTCCAAGTTTCTTAAATCCACAATGCAGAACCCACAGAGGAAGAGGAAAGCCAACTGTGTTATTTGCTTTGTTTTTTGGTGGTACTGGGGTTTGAACTCAGGGCCTCATGGCTTGTTAGGCAGGTATTTTACCACCTGAGCCACTCTGCCAGCCCCAAGGAAGGCCAACTGTGGTTGGTGTCATGCAGTGACCTTTTTATTTTGGTAACTAGTCTCTGTCATTCAAGATAATGCCTGTGACATTCATCCAAGCTACTGTTTGTATCAGTAATTCACAACCTCCATTTATTCTTCACTGTAACCTTGAGGTATGACGGTCCGCCTTCACAGATGAAGAAACTGAGGCCTTTGGGGAAGGTTGATGAAGAACAAGGTCCTAGGACAGGGAGTGTGTCTTTTCCAGGGGAAGGCTTGACTCCCTCCCTCCCCAGCTAAGTCATCCTCAGACACTCATATGTCCCAGGCAGCACTTACAGAAACTTAGAATTGGCGAGAGCATCACGATTGCTCTTTTGTATTATTCTGTCAGCAAATATCCTTAACAACAGTCTGTAACTATTGGCCTGGATCCTCCTAAGATGTACCAGAAAAACAGAGACGTTAAGTGCTAGGTTCGTGTCACACAGCGTATCAGTTGCAGAGTCAAACTCAGAGTCAAGTTGTTCAAAAAACACAGGTGTCCACAGACACTATGGTCCTCAGCCTTGCCACACCTTGGAGCTACCTAGAGAGATTTATAATGACTGGGTTCCAGTCCCCAGGATAGGGATGTCACTGGTCTAATGTGGGATCTGGACAGCCAGATTTTGGGGCAGTCTCAGCGTGTGCACACTTATGTCAGGAAAAAGCAAGACATTCCAGGAGATCGCCGTGGATGTGGCTCCAGTGGCACTTGGAGAGTTTTTTGAAGTCATGTTCTTTTTTCTCTGCAACTTGCTTTTCTTCTTTAAATCAGAATAATACTGTGGGCTGCATGTGTGTGAATTCCAGCGTGGCTGACCATGCACACTTCCCTTTTTCATCTGCTAATTCAAGTTTTGCATGGATTTAGGCAAAGATGCAGCAAATGGTTTCAAAGGTGTCACTGATTCAAAACCAAAAGCCTCAGCCTCGAAGAAGGAATTACTAAGTCTGCATTCTGATCTCGGCATATGTTTCATTTGCAAAGAGTCATTGTCACCAGGTAGCTCAAATGAGGCTCTCCTACCCTGGCCCTCCAACTCCAGCTGCCATTGAACACACATGTTGACAGCTGGAACTGGAAGCCAGTTAACCAAATCTGAGAAGTCATTGCCCTCAAGCCCTGTAGTGAGACCTGGATTCCAGACAGTGACTGGCCTTGGCCTTGGCCTTGACTGAGGGAGGGAAAGCAGAGCTTTAAATAAGGTCCCCTGCACTGGGCCTGCCCATCAGCTCCTTGTCCATGTCAAATGTTGGTTTTTGAAAATAATTTTGTGAAAGACATCAGCCAGGCAGGAAGCAGCTCCTGGGTTTTTGATCTTAGGCATCCCTCTGGGCTCCTACCTCCATGACCAGCTGGCTACATGGACCTTAGGTGAGTCCAGACACCAACCTGGGCCTCAGTTTCCCCATCTAGCTGATGGAGTCTGACAGGTGTCCCTGTGAGTAGGAAGTCCATGGTGTAGAATCTAAGTGACAGTCACTCCAGAGGTGATGTAGAATAAGGGGAGCTTTTCCTACCAGGAAGCAGATATCACTCCCAGGCCACCAGCTCTGCTTAAAACCCTCCAGAAACCTCTGTCATATTCAGAATAAAATCCTGACTCCTTGGCCTGCTGTCCAGTGTCTGTATCTTGTATCTTGTGCTCTTTCTCTTTCTTTCTCTCTCTCTCTCTCTCCTCCCTCTGCTGTTCTCCCCTCCCTCCCCTCTCCCTCCCCCTCTCTCCCACTCTGCCTCTCTCCCCTCCTTCCCTCCCTCCCTCTTCTCTCTCTCCTCTCTCTCTTTTCTATCTCCCTTCCCTCTCTCTCTTCCTCTGCCTCTCTCCCTCTGCCTCTCTTCCCTCCTTCCCTCCCTCCCTCTCCCCTCTTTCCTCTTTCCCTTTCTCTCTCCCCTCTCCCTCCCTCTCTTCCCTCTGCCTCTCTCCCCTCCTTCTCTCTCTCCCTCTGTCTCTCTTTTCTCTCTCTCCTCCCTATGCCTCTCTCCCCTCCCTCCCTCTCTCTAGCTCCCTTTCTCTCTCCCTCTCCTTATGTCTCCCCCTCCCCCTCCCTCCCTCCCTCCCTCCCTTCCTTCCTCTCTCTCTCTCTCCCAGAAGCTCTCCCATCCTCATCACCCTCTGAGCACAGTGGCCCCTTTCTGTTTCTCAGGTGACTTAAGCCTGATTCCACAACAGGGCCTTTGCACTTGCTCTCACTGCCTGGAATGTTCCCTTCCCAGTCCTACCAATGTCTTGCCTTTTCTCATCATTTAACCCTCTGTATGTCATCCCCTGTAGTGGGCCTTCCACTAGGACCCCCATGACTGAATTCAGCCCCTGTCCTTCTTCCTCCCATTTCCTTGTCTTCCTTCCCTCCTAGGAACGAGCATTTACCACAATGTCAGCCCTCCCCCTTCTCTAGAAGTCACACTTCATCATTAAAGGGCAGCTGAGTCTCTTCACTGCCTGTAGGTTCTCAACTTAAGAAAAAAACTCTTTTGTGCTAATGAGTCAATCAGCCTGTGAATGATGATCAATTAATTGAGAAATCCATTGATGACACCAGTCCCACCCCTCTTTCTTCTGAAGTCCAGAGGGGCCTCAGCTTGCATGTCTCTCTCCTTCCCCGTGCAGGAAGTAGCCAAGAAGATGAACTTGGACATGAGGAAGACGTCCTCACTGTGGAAGGACCAGGCGCTGGTGGAGATCAACATTGCAGTGCTGTACAGTTTCCAGGTAGCCCAGGGCCCGTCCCCCCATGCCCCCGAGGGGAGTGGAAGCTTCCAGACCTTACTGTAGAGGGTCAAGAGACCCATCTGCCACAGACCACCCTCAGGGGGCTTCCGTCCACCAGTGCCACCCGCCTCCTGTCTACTTCCCGTCTTCTGGGACCTGGGTGGGGACCACTCCATGCAGAGATGAGGGAGAAGCAACTATTGTTGCTTACCATTCTTTTGGGGGGATGCAGTTTGAACTCAGGGCCTCGTGCTTGCTAGACAAATGCTCTACCACTGAGCCACCCGCAGCCCTTTGTGTTTTAGTTATTTTTCAGGTCGGATCTCACATTTTTGCCCCAGTGGGTCTGGACCTTGATTCTCCTATTTATGCTCCCCCTCACCCATAGCTGGAATGACAGGCATACACCACTGCACTCAGCTGTATTGATTGAGATGGGGTCTCACTAACTTTGCTCAGGCTGGCCTCAAGCAGTGATTCCCCCAATCTCCACCTCCCAAGTAGCTGGAATTATAGGAATGAGCCCCCTTACCCAGCTTGCTTATGACTTCTTAGAATTGTGGTGACAGTTCATCCTCTGTGTCTTGTCATCTCTAAGGGACTCAGACAATCACATAACAGACACAAATCCACATCCTCAGTAGCAGAACCACATAGGCCCCTGCTGAATGGTACTATACTGCAAAAGCCAGAAAATTTATTGTCTTAACCATGACACTTTGGAGAGCACAAGGGGCGCTATTAATAATTAACCAGACATTTGGCATAAGCCATTTCTCTGGTTTCTGCAAAGCAGGAGACCTAGAGAAAAGAGGTCACTGTCTAGACCAGAGACCAGCTCTGTCCTCAGGGGGACTTCCAGTCTGGGTAGCTAGACCCCCAATGATGCCCATGAAAGGTCCTCACAAGCATGGGGAGAAGCCACAGGTCCCATATCAGGAGTGGGGAGAGTGGACTCACTGGGGAATGTCACAGGGTAGAGACAAATTCAGACAGGATCAGGAGGAAGGAGGTCACTGCTTGGGAAGACTTGAGGAGTCATTGAAATGATGAGGCATGACTGGGACCCCTGGTGGACTGGGCTGAAGGCTGGGAGCCGGGTGATTGACAAGGAGAAGTGTCAGCCAGAGTCAGGTGGACAGTGTGTGACTCCAATCCCACTAACTGCAGCTGCCCCCCACCCCAGACGTTCAGTCACCAGTCTCTGTGCTGATCTACATGTTTCATTTTTAATCAACTCATCTTTATTGCTTAAAACTGTATGACTTAAGGACCAGGCATGGTGGTGTTTCCCTATAATCTCAGCTAAGCAGGAGGCAGAGGTAGGAGAATCATGGTCCGAGCTAGCCCCTGGCAAAAGAGCAAGACCTTATCTGAACAAAAAAGTAACTAAAGCAAAAAGGGCTAGGGGCCTGGCTCAAGTGCTAGAATGCAAGTCAAGGCCCTGAGTTCAAATCCTAGTACTGCCAAAAAAACACACTTCATAAGAGAATTTTGTCACTCTACAAATGGAGAGCCAGTGTCAATTGCTCTAAGCAGAAAGCATCTATAATGTTTGATAAACAAACACAAGGAAAGCAAAGTTGTTTGAATCTAGGGTTCCTCCTTCTTCTTACAGGGGTAGAGGTGGGGAAGAAGGTGCTCAAGTAAAGTTGAAGACACTTTATCACCGAGACTTTTCCCTGGGTATAGCTGCCAAGACAGAAGGAAAAGTGCAGAGAAAGTTTCATGACTGCTTAGAATCATCTCTGGGACCACCCTTGAGGAACTGCCACTCTCTGGGCGTGGGTCCCCCAAATAACTCATCTTCTCTTCTCTCCTGCCTCCTGTCCCCTCTTCTCTCACAGAGTGACAAAGTGACCATCGTGGACCATCACTCTGCCACCGAGTCCTTTATCAAACACATGGAGAATGAATACCGCTGTCGGGGGGGCTGCCCGGCTGACTGGGTGTGGATTGTGCCCCCCATGTCTGGAAGCATCACCCCCGTCTTCCACCAAGAGATGCTTAACTACAGGCTCACTCCGTCCTTCGAATACCAGGTCCCGCCTCTCTCCGCCTCGCTGCCTCCCAACTCTCCCACGTCTGCTGGGCACCACCCAAAAGCCACGTGGGGCTCGTGGTTGTCACCCTACACAGCCTGTCCAGCTGAAAGACCCATAGGGTGGTCAAGAAGAGACTCTGAGGGAGACAAGGGCTGGGGGACAGTACAGGGGGACTAGGCCAGGCACTGCTAGGACACCTGTGCCCACCTGTCCCTGCCTTGCTCAGGGTTGAGCAGCCACAAATCTCAGGGAATCCTGGACATCTCCAGGAGCAGCCAGTTTTACTCATGGCCATGACCGGTGCCCTCTTCTCTTTCCAGCCTGATCCTTGGAACACCCACGTCTGGAAGGGGACCAACGGGACCCCCACAAAGCGGCGAGCCATCGGCTTCAAGAAGCTGGCTGAGTGAGTGTTCTGTGGTGGAGGTGCGGGGAGGGACCCACACCCGGTGGGAGCCTCAGGAAAGGAGGCTGGTCAGATGCCGTGCCCTCTGACCACCCCCCAGAAATGGCTTCAGCGTGTGTGCCACCCCTGTGTGTCTTCTTTGCCTTTGAGTCTGAGTTGAAAGTGTTGGCATAACCAACCACTTGTCCTTGTCATTGCAGTATGTCGGTGAGCCAACTGTCCTAATAACAGGGATAATTGTGCCTTGTTTGTAGCATTTGCCAATTACCGTGGTGTGAATATTCCCACGGTGGCCAATTTCAACAGGAAGTCATGAACCCAGGGTAGAGAGGAGCTGGGTGAGTCAGCTCCTGCACTCACTGCCTACAGAGCACTCAGGTTCAATTTCATTCATTCATTCGTTTGTTCATTTAGCCAACAAATGAGTGTCGAGTACCTTCTCCACGCCACACTCTAGGATGTCTTAGCAAGCCAGGCGAAGGTGGTCACTGCTCTTATGAAGCTCAGAGCCATTGTTTGTCAAAGAGTCACACAAATGCCCATGACACTGGCAGCTGTGGCAAGTCCTTGGAAGAGTGGCTCACAGGGTCTTAAATAGACACTACCAAGTTTGGGCAGTCAGGAAGGGCTTCTCTGAAGAGGTGACAGTTGAGCTGAAGAATGAGCTAAACAGGCTTAACTGAGCAAAGAGGCGAGGACAAGGAGCTATGGGACACAACACTGAGGGGGACCTTCCCAGCCAGGGACCAGGTGACAAGCAAGGTGGGGCCAACTGAGATGACTTAATGGAGACCCAGACTTCTGCCCAAAGATAGAAAGCCTCTCTGATCCACTCACAGGACCCCCTGTTTTAAGCATCCTTCTGGAAAGGACAGTGTATGGACCCAGCTAGCTCAAGTCCAGAACTCTCTGTGTACATCTAGCTGTACAACAGGTGCCATCTGTGCTGGGGACAACAGAGACAAGTCAAGTTCTAGCCCCCTGTGACCATAGCCCCTGGAATATCTCTCTCTCTCTCTCTCTCTCTCTCGCCTCTTTCTCTGTCTCTCTCTCTCTCCTCCCCCCTCCCCCTCTCCCTCACCCCCCCACCCCATCCTCCAGCCAATAACACATTTCCCTAAGGACAGGATCTGGAATGTTCTCAGCAAGGACCACCTTTGGCTTCTGTTCAGGTCCACTGTTTCCAGGAAAGGAGGGAGAGAGATGTCTAAAACATCAATTGCACAATTAAGTTTGGGTTGGAAACAATGAGGGTTAATTATAGATGCGTTTTTATACTGGATCCTTCTAAGCGAAGCCTCCAGGCACCTTTTATGCCTTCTAATTCTCCCCGTTAGCACAATCTTCCTGCAGCGTGGGTGGCTTCCCTGATTCTAAAAACCATAAATTTGCCATCAATAGGCCCCAGGTGGGACAGAATTAGCAATTTGCCTACACGGAGATTCCTAGTAAGAATAAAGGGGGTGGCTCAGGATTGAGCCCGGGTATTCTGGAGTCGCTGGTCTGTCTGCTCCCTTCTGCCCCCTGTCTGCAGCCGGGAGGAAGGACGCTGGTTTGACATTCTCTATTCAGCAAGAAAAAGGCTGCACTTGACACTGACCTCCCCAGAGGTCCCTGTGTAAGACCCTGGATGTGCACTGCTAAATAACCCAGGCCTAGCCCTTTCTTTGTGGATCTGTAAACCTCAAAAATCCTTCTAACTCAATGCCTGGTAACTTATTAGTGACTTGCTTCTCCATACATCTATCTCTCTGGGTGCCCATGGTTCATGCCTGTAATCCTAACTACTTGGGAGGTGAGATCAGGAGACCTCAGTTCAAGACCAGCCTGGGCAAATAGTTCATGAGATCCTCCATCTCCAAAATAACCAGAGCAAAACGGACTGGAGGTGTGGCTCAAGCGGTAGAGCGCCTGCTTTGCAAGAGCGAAACACACTACATCAAACCCTATCCCGCCAAAAAGAAAAAATGTGTATACTATATATGCACACGCACACACTTATCTAAGCCCCTAACAGCTCCTGGCCACCACCATGTTCTCTGTGTTCTACAGTCCCTGTGACAGTGCCAGCACACAGGTACGCACTCAGCAAATGTTTCATGAATGAATGAACAAGTGGATGGATGAATGAGCAGATCAGTGTTCTCGTGGCCAGGAGATCAATCAAATAAGCAAAACTAAGCAGCCATTTGAGCTCATGACTAATTGCTCTGGGGATATGGTGTTGAACTTGGGGGCTTTGCATGTCTCTGAGGGGACCCCTGAAGCCATCAAACAGCAAGAGAGTAAGTCCTTGCTAGTCTTGTTTCGTGGATCATGGTTCTTATCCGGAAGTCCCAACCAGGTGTCTTCTGTCCATTCTGTGTTTCCCATTCTCCTCTCCATCCTTTCCCCTGCAGAGCTGTCAAGTTCTCGGCAAAGCTGATGGGCCAGGCAATGGCGAAGAGGGTCAAAGCGACCATCCTGTATGCCACAGAGACGGGCAAATCACAAGCCTACGCCAAGACCTTGTGTGAGATCTTCAAGCATGCCTTTGACGCCAAGGTGGGTAGGGACAGAGTCAGCCCCCAGCCTATCATGGTAAACAAAGTCGGGATGGGGAGAGAGGGGAGTGAACAGAGACGACCTCTCAGCAACAGACTAAGGCACCCCAAGCACGCTGTTGCTCACACACACACACGTGTGTAAATTTCAGGGCACTGTGATACCCTCTTCCTGTGAACTCTCCAGAAGTCCAGGAATCAGCAAACAAAATCCCCATCTCTAGTGCAAAATGCTGGGCGGGTGGGGGGGGGTGCGGTGTGAGAAACCAATCCAGAGTACGTTTAATTGCTGCAGGACTTCTGAGAGCCTTTCATCTCTGATCATGTATTATAGTCTCCAAGGGAGGAAAGGAGAGACTATAAATGTTTCCAGGACATATCTAACCATGCAGTACTTATTTTTATGGAGCCTCGCAGGAGACTGGCCTTCCTTAGCTCTACTTTGAGGGACATTGTCCAGGTGATGCCAAGGCACAGAATAAGACTCCCCCCTCCCAAGGTATCTCAAACCTGGGAGTCCTCATGCTCCACAGTGCTGGAGGCACAGTTAGGGAAGAGACTGAGCTCTAGCCAGGTCATTCCCTGGAGTCAGGAACACCCCCCAGGACCATATAATTGTAAGGAAGCCCAAAGGCCTCCATCAAGATCTGTCCCACTACTGGGCATTGTGGTACCCATCTGTAATCCCAGCACTCTGGACGTCAAGGCAAGAGAATCAGAAGTTTAAGGCCAGCCTACATTACATAGAGAGACAGAGAGAAAGCGAGACAGAGAGAGACAGAGACAGAAAGAAGTAGAAGGAAGAGGAGGAGGGAGAGAGGGAGGGAGGGGGGAGGGAAAGGAAGGAAAAAGGAAGAAAGGAAGGAAGGGAGAGAGGGAGAGAGGAGGGATGGGGGAGGGAGAGAGAGAGAGGGAAGGAAGGAAGAAAGAACTACTCTTCTGGTAGCCACCTCTGGGCCCAGGGCCCTGACTCCCACAATCCTCTGGGCCACAGTGACCACAGTAGACTCCACTCTACCAAAAGGTTCCAGTTCTACCCACTGAGCCCACGGAAATATTAGCAGTCTAGAACATTCGGTTCCCTCCAAAGGAGATGAGTGAAAACGACTCACCTTTCCCTTCCTCTCCTCCCCACCCCCATTATTCTTGTTCTCCCCACCGCCTCTACCCCCATCACCATTTCACCCCTCCTCCCCCACCCCATGTCTCAACCATGCCCTCCCAGGTGATGTCTATGGAGGAGTATGACATCGTGCACCTGGAACATGAAACTCTGGTCCTCGTGGTGACCAGCACCTTTGGCAATGGAGACCCCCCCGAGAATGGAGAGGTGAGATGGATGGACGTCTTCTGTCCTAGTGACAGGTTCTACCCATGGGAGAAAGGGGCACAGCTGGGAGCCTTCCCCACACCTGCTGCTCAGAAGCAAGCTCTCCCAGAGCCTCCAAGCCAGTGACTTCCAGATGGTGCAAGCTCTCTCAGTCCTGTGGTTAAGCAGTCCCTAGTGAAAATGCCACCTAAACAAGCTACTGGTGTGGAATGGATGCTCCAGCTTGGGGATATGCTTTTATAGAGAGGTCACAGGGAGTGCTGGAGATAAGGAGTCCACTTAAACAGCTGGCTTTTCACTGCACCTGCAGTTCAAGCATTGCTGTCCACCTGAGCCCCCCTGACCACCCCTGACATCTGGGCATCAGGCTCCTCTTTTACCACTAGAACCCTAGACCCTATGCCCCACCCTCTTCCAAATTTCCTAACACATGCTTCACATTTCGCTTTATCTGTTTTGACTTCCAGAAATTTGGCTGTGCTTTGATGGAAATGAGGCACCCCAACTCTGTACAGGAGGAAAGGAAGTAAGTGAACAGCACTCCAGTGTCACATGACCTCTCGGGGCCAGTGAAAATTATCTTTTGGCATCTGAGGTTCACATTTGGGTTGGTTGCACCTCAAAGTGGAGACCAACTTTTCCAGGTGCCTCTCTGGGCTCCACGGGGGCTGATATTTTGGTCTCTGATCATTCCTCAAGTCTATGCCTATTTATTTCCTCTATCCAATAGAGATTATAATGCTTACCTTGACTTTCTCATTGGTAAGAATCAAATATCAGAAAGCAGACAGACAAGTCCTGGAAAAAATTTAGCCCCGTGTGTGAATAATCGGTTCTTATTGTTTCTCCTTCTTGGGAAACCCACATTCAAAATGAGTGAAAGCTGCTCTTTTTAGGACGTTTCTGTGTGAGGCTCACAGGAAACCCGTGGCCATGTGCAGAGTAAAGTCAAAGGCTAGATAACTCTTAAGACAAAGACACTGTGGCCCACAGCCCTTCACGGAGGAGCTGCATCCAAGGGGAGGGGGCGTGCGTTCTAAAGGCTCTTCACACGGTGAAAACATCTGGAATCACTGTCAGCCTTGCAAAGCCCTGGCATCATCCACCAGCTAGAGGATGCTAGGTGCATGCACACTGCACCCCGGTCAGGGAGGCCAGCTCAGCGTTCCCTCCAGCTTAGAGTGGATCCCATGTCTTAAAAGGAGCATCCCATGTCAAGGCTGGCTGGTGTTTAGAGGTTGTGTTGTGCAGAAAATCGCTCCTGGTTGTCTTTCTGCTGAGCACAGATTACCAAACCCACTGACGTGGGATACCCAGGGAAGAGACGATCACGGGACCCCAAGTGGCCAGCCCTCGCTCTGCGCCCAGCTCCAGCATCTCAACCCTCGCCCTCCACACCTCTCTGCTCCCCAGCCATCCTGGGCGGCCCCCCAAAAGGCCCCCTCACCCCTCCTTCAGGGAGAGATAGGGCGCCATCCATTCTCCTCTCTAGGTACCCGGAACCCTTGCGTTTCTTTCCCCGTAAAGGGCCTTCCCTTCCCCGGGGTGACTCTGAAGTCCACCGTCTGGCTGCAGCCCGTGACAGCCAGCACAGGTAGAGTGTGTGCACGTGTGCATGCGAGTGTGTGCACGGGCGTGTGGGCGTGTGCGCGCGTGCGCATAGTGCGTGCACACTTGCACTTGGGCATGCGCAATGCTGGAGCGTCTGGGCCGCATAAAGACCTGAATTCTAATCACGGTGTGCCACTGACTCCCTCCAAAACCCTGAGCACATCACTTGACCTCTGTGAGCCTCAGTCTTTCACATCTGCCAAATGGGATGAAATAATGTCTGTCCTGCCCACCCCCGGGGCCGTTACAGAGGATCAAGGGACAGTAAGAAGAGCATTTGGCCAAACCTCTCTAGCCTTATAAAAATACACATGCTGTTATTTTTACTGCCACAACCATCCACCATGCCACCCACACTAACGACACAGCCACCCCCTCATATGTTGCATGACTTATTTGGAGACGTGACTCAATGCAAAGCTATTTGGGGGCAGAAAATACACTTACATATATTTAGAACTTTCCTGACATTGGAACGAAAACTTTGAAGAAAAACCAGCTTAGAAACCCTGCTGGCACACAATGCACAATTTCCTTTTTTGTCTTCTTTTTTTCTCTCTCACTCCCGTTTTGCACTCAGATTTGTGTGTTGGCTTTTGTCTTGAGTTTTGGAGGAGGGGTTTGTTTATTTGTTGGGAGTTGGGGATTTGGGGTTTTTTTGTTTTTGTTTTTTTCTTTTTTTTGGTTTGGTTTTTGCCTTGTCTAAAAACAAAACTTAACCACTTTGGGAGAAAAGTAGGAAACTGATGGTTTTTTGTTTTTCTTGTTTTTTTTTTTGGTTTTTGTTTTGAAGTCTCAATGTTCCTGACTGAGCCTCTTGTGCTGAGGTCTGGGTCTAGGATGTCTTTCTTCCTCCTTGAAAATAATTTTAGAAAAAATATGCAACATGTTTTCATGCTGGGTATGAACAGTTCTCATGTGTACTTGAAATGTGACCTGGGATGGACCCCTGAAACGTCTAAGGACCACGACTCCAGGGAAGGACAGTGTTGGCTGGGACAGAGCAATCCTGCCCAAAAGAACTTGTTACAATGATGTTGGTGTTGTATGCTGGCCAAACAGGAGCCACCAATCACACATGGCTGTTGAGCACCTGAAATGCGGCTAACTCAAGAGATGAACAGAATTCTTAATTGTATTTAATTCTAATTAACTCAGCTTTAAATTACCATATGCAGTATTGCTGCCATATTGGTAAAGCATGGGCGTGGTTCCTAGCTACTTAGAATGAGGTCTTGGGACTCATTCTGGTGTCTCTTGGGGCCTCCTAGAAATGCCTACTTTCAGCCCCCACCTGAGACTAGACTGACTGAACCAGAGCCTTTATTTTGACAAGATTTGGACATGAATCTTGTGCACATTAAAATTTGGGACACATGGTCTGGAAGTCAGGCATGGTCCATTCCGTTCTCCACTTCTTACTGATGTGACCATTTCAACAACACAGGTCTCCAGTTTCCTGGCCAGAAACCTGTTAAGTTACAGGTAGGGTCAAGTGCAGAGGGGTAGTAGTTTTCATTGTGATGGGTGTGGAAAAGGTGACATTCTTAAAGAGGCTACAAAAGTGATATTATTTGACTCAACACCCAGGAGAAGGTACTAGAACCAAGACCAGGAACTCAAAGCACCAAAGGGAGTGCTGGCCCTAGGAGGGAATTCGCATCTTCTCGTTGCTTTTGGCAGGAGCTACAAGGTTCGATTCAATAGTGTCTCCTCCTACTCTGACTCCCGGAAGTCATCCGGCAATGGACCTGACCTCAGGGACAACTTTGAGAGCACTGGCCCTCTGGCCAATGTCAGGTGAGCAACAGATCAAGGGATCCTGGAAGACCATGATTTGTGAGGAGCTGGGCCTAACTGCCAAGTGGGCTATTTGATGCTGGGGAGGGGACCCCCTTCCGTGTCCCTCCATCCTAAATCCAGCTGTATCCTGGCTATCGGGGGAACCTTGTCCATTAAAGCATGCTGCCTGTTTTCTCCATGTCTACACTTGACCCTTCCTAGACTTCTGTTCTAGGAACAGATCCCCCATCTCAGAGTCTTATCACTCAAGGTTCTTCCCATTATTTGTGCAGAAGGCTGTTCCTCCCTGGAGATTGCTCTCTGAGCTGCCTTTCCCAATGGACACAGTTTCCACTGAATAGAAGTTTCTGGAAATACTCTTCCATGACCCAGCAATTCTCAACTTTAGATGCAAATTGGTATCACCTGGGGATGTTTGCAATCTGTCAAACAATAACCAAGCCCACCTGCAGGGATTTAGATGGAATTGTCTAGAATTGGCCCAACCATGGCCTTTTCTCTTTAAGTCTCCCCAGTGGACTCTAAGGTACAGTCAGGTTTGAAAAAGATTGGCCTAACGCCATGTTTTCCAAAGCGTATTCACATACGGAGAATGAAGGTGGTCGTTTCTCAACCCACTCATCCTCTTTCAGAACCAACTGGAACTTTCTCCCAAGGACGGTAACACCTAACAGAGACCAAAAGGAGGGGGAAAGAGGCCTCGAGGGCTCTCAGGTTTAAAGATGGTCCTCCCTCTCATAGTTCTGAAAGGTTTAAAAGTTCAAGATCAGATTGATTGCTGCCTCTCTTCCCGGCTTGCAGAGGACCACCTTTCTCCTTCTCATTATGACAAGGGAAAGAGAGACAGACAGACTTTATCAGTTATCACCCCTTCTTCTTATAAGCGCACTGGTTCTGTTGGATTAGGGCCCCACCCTGATGATCTCATTTAACCTTAATCACCTTCATAAAGCCCTTGGGTTTGGGAGCTCCAACACGGATTTGGAAGGCACACACCGCAGCTGACGACACTAGACACCTGGGACCTCCCCAGCCTGGACCTTCTCCTGTCTCCTTTGGTAGGTTCTCAGTGTTTGGCCTTGGCTCTCGAGCATACCCTCACTTCTGCGCCTTCGGACATGCTGTGGACACCCTCCTGGAAGAGCTGGGAGGAGAAAGGATCCTGAAGATGAGGGAGGGGGATGAGCTGTGTGGGCAGGAAGAGGCCTTCAGGACCTGGGCCAAGAAAGTATTCAAGGTAACGTGGAGCTCAGCGCCCCAGGGAGGAGAATGCACTTCACACCCCAAAGACAGCACCTCTCGCTTCCCCAAGAGGAGAAGGAAGGGCTGGTGATGTAGCCCCGTGGTAAAGCACTTGCTAGTGCACACAAGGTCCTAGGTTCCATCCTCAGCATCAGGAAAAATAAATAAATAAAATTATAGAGTCTATCTGTATACAGTGTACAAGAAAAATTACATAGAATTAAAATTCCACCTCTCCATTGCACTGTCCCCCTTAAATTTCTGATAGCCATGAGTGGCTCGTGGCTACTGTGTTGGACACTGCAGAATGTCCCCATCGTGATGGAATGTCCCGTTAGGTAGCAGTGTTTAAATACAAGGTCATGGAAGAATCAATGGAGCTTTGTATCTGTATGTGCACATGGTTTAACTGGCCTCCTACATTGAACGTGGACCCTGTCACCTCCCCTTGCTCCTTCTGCTGCCCTGCACTGCATTCTCATCACAGCCCCAGGAGACAGGACTGTGCAACCCACTGTTGTTCAACCAGCACTTTTAATCGTGAAAGGGAAGGCAGACAGTAAAAAAGGAAACTGAGGCCCCTAGTCTAAGGTGTATGTGGGAGAGACTGACTCTGTAAGCCTGTTACTGCTTTTCCACCCAGTCAAGGAGAGTCAAGCTGACTCCTTTTTTTTACACCTGAGATAATCAGCCAACCTGATTGAGCATCCCAGAAGCAAGGCCTATAAAAAGCTACTACACCATTTAGCTATCACCCTCCTATCCTCCCACCCCATCCCCAGCTGTAACAACCACTAATCCAATTTCTGAGTCTATACATTTCCCTATTCTGCTCATTTCATATGAATGGAATGACTGGGTTCTTTAATAAGTGAAAGAAGCATCAAGTTTTTAAGGTTCACCCATGTTGTAGCATGTGTCAGGACATCATCCCTTCTTGTGGCCAAACAATATGCCACTCTACTGATACACTACCTTTTGTTTATCCATTTATCCATTGAACATTTGGAATGTTTTAAAATTGATACAAGGTAGCCTAGTGCTGGTAGCTCATGCCTGTAATCCTAGGTACTTGTATACTGAGATCAGGAGGATCGTGGTTTGAAGCCAGTTTGGGAAAATACTTTGCAAGACCCCATCTCCAAAATAACCAGAGCAAAATGGACCAGAGGTGTGGCTAAAGTGGTACAATGCCTGCTTTGCAAATGGGAAGCGCTGAGTTCATACCCCAGTCCTGTGGCCCCACCCCAAAAAAATCAACACAATGTCAGACAATGGTAAAAATTAACCTTGAAAACTTTAAAAATAATCCTGCAGTGGTACACGCTGTCATCCCAGCTACTCAGGAGCCTGAGGGAGGCGATGACTTGAGCCCAGGAGTTCAATACCAGTCTGGACAACATAGCAAGACCCTACCTCAAAAAACTAATAATAATAATTTTTAGGATCATTAATATTGGAGAACAAAGGACTTTACCAAAAAAGAAAAGAAAAGAAAAATGCCTATATAGGCATCCAGGTATCCAATATATTCTGCCTTTATATAATTTTTTTAATCTTTTAAGGAAGATGGATGGGAAAGTCTATGGTGTTTACTCTCTTCTTTAATGTTGGCTTTAGGAATAAATGCCACCAAAGAATTATGTCTTAAATAGAAGTTGAATCCTACTAGTCAGTGGTAAATGTGACGTATCCAGTCATAGAAAGCACTCAAAAAATATAAGATGGTAGATATGTGGGTGGGTGGTTGGGAGGAAGGGCAGGTGGGTGACTAGATAGATGGATGGATGGATATGGATGGATGGATGGATGGGAGGGTGGGGGAGGATGGATGGGTGGATGGATGGATGGATGGATGGATGGAAAGGTAGATGAGTGGATGGATGGAAAGGTAGATGAGTGGATGGATGGATGATATGGATGGATGGATGGAAAGGTAGATGAGTGGATGGATGGATGATATGGATGGATGGATGGAAAGGTAGATGAGTGGATGGATGGAAAGGTAGATGAGTGGATGGATGGATGATATGGATGGATGGATGGAAAGGTAGATGAGTGGATGGATGGATGATATGGATGGATGGATGGAAAGGTAGATGAGTGGATGGATGGAAAGGTAGATGAGTGGATGGATGGATGATATGGATGGATGGATGGAAAGGTAGATGAGTGGATGGATGGATGATATGGATGGGTGGATGGATGGAAAGGTAGATGAGTGGATGGAAAGGTAGATGAGTGGATGGATGGCTGGATGGATGGGAGGAAGGATGGATGGATGGATAAGAGGGTGGGGGATGGATGGATGGATGGAGAGATATGGATGGATGGATGAGAGGAGGATGAATGGATGGATGGATGGGTAGATGAGTAAATGGATGGATGGGAGGGTGGAGGATGGGTAGACGGATGGATGGATGGATGGAAAGGTAGATGAGTGGATGATGGATGATATGGATTGATGGATGGGAGGATGGATGGATGGATGGATGGATGGAAAGGTAGATGAGTAGATGGCTAGATGGAGGGAGAGAGAGAGCGGGAAGGAGCAAGGGAGAAATACATGCTATTACTTGGAACTACTGGGGAAGAGCCTCTCTTGACTGAAAGAGGTCACCAAAAGCCTGTTGTGCCACAGGCAGCCTGTGATGTTTTCTGTGTGGGGGATGATGTCAACATTGAGAAGGCAAACAACTCCCTCATCAGCAATGACCGCAGCTGGAAGAGGAACAAATTCCGCCTCACCTATGTGGCAGAAGCACCAGAACTTACCCAAGGTACTGGCACAGCCCTCTTGGGGAGGCCTTTGTGACAGTGGGTGGGGAAGGAGATTTGTTGGAGGCACTTGGAGAAGGTAGCTTCATTGCTCTCATCCCCTCCAGTGCAACCCTTCCAAGTGAAAGCGTCAACCACCTGCCCCCTGTGCAGTAGAACACACACTGGAAGCTTCTCTCTCCAGTGGCAGTGTTCCCCGAAACACCTCGCCTCAACTTCATTCAACCACATTTGCTTTGTTCTGCATTTTCCACAACCACCTCACCCATCCCCACCAAGGGATCGGTTTTTCCTTCACTTCACCCCAGAGGCAGTGGAATTGTGAGCAGAGGGTCCAGGAAAAGCTGAGCAGTTTTATGTTGACTGTTTCACCTGCTCTCAGAAAAGTTGTGACTTCTCCCCTGCAGGTCTTTCCAACGTCCACAAAAAGCGAGTTTCTGCTGCGCGACTCCTGAGCCGACAAAACCTCCAGAGTCCTAAATCCAGGTAGGTACACCTGGGTTCCCCCAGATTTGCCTTCCTTCACTCCCAGTGTCACCCATAGTGGGAGAGGGGATCCTGATGACCCCAGGGTCAGGCTTCCTATTTCCCCAGCACTGCAAAGTGCCAGGCTCTCACCTGGAGGTGTGACATAGGAGCTGGTGCTAATTGTGAGGACAAGGGACAGAGAACAGTTTTATGATTGATCTTAACAGTGCCCCAACCCCTGTGGAATCAGTGACTGTTCTTTGTACCATAGCGTCTTCATCAGAAGTCACTTAGGCCACACATGTCCTCACTGTGGTCATTTTTCTATAGAGTGCTACAAAAATGGACTTGTTTAAATTTCCTTGGAATGATGGGAAGTTCATTCCTTCCCCCAAATGACCCCTCTCTGTTTTAAAGTCCTGTTAGAAATTATCTTAAGATCCAGCATAGCCAAATATATAAAATAATCAAATATATTAATATCTAATATAGGCAAATGTCTTACTATCAGATATAAATCATATTGTCTTAGTACATTTTTGTGGTGGTACTGGATTTGAATTCAGGGCCTTGCACTTGCTAAGCAGGTGCTCTACCACTTGGGTAACACCCCCAACCCTTATTTACTTTAGTTCCTTTTCAGGTAGGGCCTCACGTTTTGGGGCCTGGCTGGCGTTGGACCGAGAGCCTCTTTTTTTTTTTATTTAATGTATATATATATTTTTTTATTGTGGTACTGGGATTTGAACTCAGGGCCTCACACTTGCTAGGCAGGCGCTCTACCACTTGAGCCACAGCCCCAGTCCCCGGAGAGCCTCTTAAAAGCAGCCTCCCACGTAGCTGGGATGACAGGTCTGTGACCATGCCCAGCTTTTATCAACTGAGATGGGGTCTTGCTAACTTTTTTGCCCAGGCTGGCCTCAAACCTTGATCATCCCAAACTCTACCTCCTGAGTAGCTGGGATTACAAGCATGAACCATGACTCTTGGCTACTTACTTCTTTTTTGTTAAACCCAGTTATCCTTTACATTGATACCCAAAACAAATTCATTTCTTCCAAATGACAGACCTAAAAGGTAACCACAGACATTGACCAATCCCCTGTGAGTCCCAATGACTCCAAATTATTGTTCCTAAGATCTGGCTTCCCAAGCTTTCAGCAAATGTCATTCTCAGACCTGGTCACCATGGCACAGAGGTTGTGTAATTTACTCTGCGGAGTGCGGCACTATTTTTGCCGTCACCAATCTGTACAGGACTCACTAATGCCACCTGACATTGCAGCCATTTTCCTCACAGCCAGGCTGTTCTATTAAGCCTGTGTTCTCACTATCCTAGCCATCCTCTCTTCTCAAAATGATCAGATCAGACTCTGCTTCTAGGAGTCACTTTTTTTAGTACTAATGAACGTTTTTGAGTTTGATTCCTGTTGAAGGGGATCATTTACACAATGAGCAAGATATAAGTATAAATATAAGTGTGAAGAGCTGGGTGGCCCTGAGTTCTGACCCAGCTCTCCCACGTACTTGCTGAGTCTATGTGACCTTGGAAAAGCCACTTAGGTGCTCTGAGCCCCTGTCACCTCAGCTATAAAATGAGAATTATAGGAAGATTCCCAGTGTTTATCTAGTGTTGGGCTGAGACCTCTGTGTAAGATCACTTTTAATTCACATCAGCCAGGAAGTACAGCCTGTGATCACCCACATTTTACAAATGAGAAATGATAGTTAGAAAATGCAAGTGACTTTCTCAAGGTCACACTGACCTGGTTATCTGACTCCAAATTCAACGTGCCAAGTGACTACACAGATGGCTTCAACCTCATTGCATGGCTTCAGTGGCCATTAAAACTGAGGTACAGACAGCACCTGGCCTGTTGCAAGGTCCCATGTCTCTTCTCCATTCAGCCCTGCTTCCTGTGATATGCAGATTTAACAGGCATGCTTTCTGTGTGGTCCTTTAAACTTTTGATAAAAGTGATCAACAAGACAGAGCCCCAGGGCTCATGTTTTCTCTCTTAGATCCTCAGACATTAAAGAAATAGATCAGGCAATTAATCTCTTTGAATAATTAGTTCAGTGCAGTATTCAGAGTGTAATGACTTCTGGCGGGGGGCGGGGGGGGGAAGGGGGGACTCTGTATTTGAACTATGCCTTTTACTTCTCATGTCCAGCCCATGGAAAATTGTGACTTCAATAGTATTGAAGGGAAGGATTTCCAGGCAGGGTGGTTCACACCTGTAATCCCAGCTACTCAGGAGGCCACACCAGAAGGAACATTGAGATCCAAGGCTAACCCTAGCAAAATCACAAGACCCTATCTAAAAATAACTAAAGCAAAAAGGGCTGGGGGCATAGTTCAAGTGGTAGAATATCTTCCTAGAAAGCATGAGGCCCTGAGTTCAAACCCCAGTACCAGGACAAAGGAAGAGAGGGAGGGAGGGGGAGAGGGGGAGAGAGAGGAAGGAAGGAAGGAGAGAAGGAAGGAAGGGAGAAAGGAAAGAAGGAAGGGAGGAAGGAAAGAAGGAAGGGAGGAAGGGAGGAAGGAAGACTAAGAATCTGCTGGAAATTTCTCTCAGTAGTAACTACTAATAACTGCTAGAAAAAGCAGCCCAAAGCCCAGCACACAAGAAGCAAGGAAAAAGGCAGATGTTTTGAGACTTGATTGAGCCAAAGGCCCCAGATCACCCCTGCCTACCCCCAGGAAGGGTACCTGACTCTAAGTTTCTGAAGAAACTGACCTACAAGAATATTCCAAAGGAGCCTAGGAATAGAAACAGGGAATAACAATCAATTGTGAATTAGCACCGGGAGGGCCAAATTGTACATGAGTGTTTATCTTTTTAAGTGTGCTCCTGTTTTCAGGCTTAATGCCATTTCCAGCTTCATAAGGTTTATTAAAAAGAGGGAAAAAAGGGTAATTGAATAGAAGCTTGACCCACCCCTTTTCTCCTGCCCAAAGCCAAGTGGGACTCTTTGGTCCAGGAAACCATATCGAAGACATCACAAATCACCCCACTAGAGACCTGTAATTGCAAGCAAAGTACCAGGGAGGAAGTAAACAGCTCTTTGAGGGTGAGCTTTGCAAACCTGAAGGGAAAAGTGACCACAGTGCCCATCCTGTCTGGAAATAAATTTTCTAATGCATGCATAATTAGCAGAGAATGCATAAAAACAGCATAGTGAGGAGATAATGGAGGGGTGAGACCGTACGTTCTAGAAGTCAGGAGGAAGAGGGAAAACACAGGGCTCAAAGTGAACCACCAAGAGAAGGTGGACTTCAGAGAAGAAAAGAGGACAGAAGGGTGCCCAGGAAGAGGGATGAGCAAGATGGAAGGTTCGAGAAGGGCCAGAACACTGGGCTCCTTTGGAGCACTGTTGGAGAACTCTTCATTTTTGTACGCCAGGGAGAAGACCGCTCTCTCCAGCATTCCCCATCTCAACAGGAGACATCAGCACTCAGCCCCAGTCAAAACCCCAGTGTCCCTTGCTCCCCTCACTGCACCACTATCTCAGAGGATGCTTTGGCCTGGACCTTTCAACATCATCTCAGATCCACAGTGCCCCCCACCTTGAGCAAAGCCATGACCATCTGTGGTCTGAGTGACCAGAATCACTGCCTGATCTGTCTCCTTACACCTGGGCTTTTCTCTCAAAGAGCCATTTTCCATACAGCAGTCCTAAGTAATCATTTGAAAAACAGAAATTGAGGGCCCAGCAGAGTGATGCATGGCTGTAACCCTGCTGTTTGGGAGGTGGAGGTTGAAGGATCCAGGCCAGCCTGGGAAAAAGCAGGAGACCCTATCTGGAAAGCAAATCAAGAGTGAAAGGGCTTGGGTATGACTCGAGTGGTGGAGTCCTTACCTAGCAAGTACAAGGCCCTGAGTTCAGTACACAGTACCAAAGCTAAATAAATAAATTGAATATTATCCCACAGCTGTTCTGCTTGTAGTGACATCCCTACTGGTGTAGGGAACCCTCCAGACTCCTTAGAGGATCAGGATCAAGTCCCTGACACTCTCTAAGCCCTCCTCCCCCAGACACTGTCCCCTTCCTGAACACACATCCCCTTTTTTCTGCAACAGAACTTTTGTGCATACTATTCTCCCTTTCTGGAACACTCTGCTCCTGGATCTTTGCACACCTACTCCTTCTCATTATTCAGGACTCTGTCCCAATGTCAGATCCCTAGAAAGACCTGCCTGATCATCCTGTCCAAGCTAGTCCCTTGCCTCCTGCCCATCACCCCTCGTTCATCCACACCCGAACCCCCTCTGACATCTCTAAGTAACTTCTCAATGAGAACTGAGCACTCAGCTCTTCCTCCCCATCACTCTCTCCAGGTGCCTAGAACAGTGCCTGACACTCAGTGTAGCTGCACTGAAAGAATGAATGGACCTTGTTAATTCAGCCGGCTCACAACTGCTGACAGTGTTTATTTACTCTTTCTCTTGAAGGGTAGGCATTATTAGCTATTTGGTTTTTTTCCATTTAACACTGAACATTAGCAAATTGTTCTTTCATCTGTGAACCTGTCTGAACCACTGTCAAGTGTGCGTGTGTCTGTGTGTCTGTGTGATGCTTCTACACACGGACACATCAACAGATGAGGTGGGCAAGGCCCAGTGGCTACTTCCCTCCCTGAACCATGTGTGTCCCAAGTTTTCAAAAAAATCTTCCACTTAGAAGACTCCAGCAGAACCGAGGTTTATGACAATTGACACCCAGGCCAGCTTCCCAGCAAATCATAGAGCACTGGCACCCAGGACCACGTGGTTGTTCAGTGCTGGGGTTCTTAGCCAGCAATTCGCAAAGTCCCCTTGCTTAGGACTCCAGGTGAGCAGAGCCTGCACCACTGCTTGGGTGCCAGCCACATTTCCATTTCTTTCCTTTTTCTGCCGGACCCCCTTGTGCCACGTTCAGACAGACTTGGGGGGAGTGGCTGGGCACATAAGCAGGCTCAGCAAGTTCAAGTCCACTGCGTTCCTGTTTTGTACAAGTCCTGACCATCAAGGAAAAAAAGCAGGGATGATTTGTGGACCTCTCAAATGCTCCTCCAGGTGAGCAGGAGGCTCCAAATTAGAAACCCTGCAGCGCCCCCTGCTGGCTGCTGGCTTCTGCTAATTCCCTGCTGGCTGCCATGGAAAGGAACCAGTCTGGTGTGAGCTCAAGGGAGAATCAATCAGGCAAGCTGACAACTCAGGGCCCCAGAGAGGGTGAGAGCTGCCTGGAAAAGGAGAGCGGAACCACAGACCCTAACAGCACATTTGCAATATGGTCCCCAAATTCCCCACTCTACTAACAGGGATGCCTTGCTTCAAGAAAATACTTCACACTCTCCCCCTACACACACACACACACACACACACACACACACAGACAAAACTGTGCCAGCTCAACTATTTTTAGCAATGATGGGCTATTTGTAGCACAAAAGGGCTCTTGGTTGTGCCAAAAACTCCCTAAATCACAGTATTGAAGTGTGATTTACATAGCTTAGAGAACGTAGGGACCTCACGTTGAATATCAAGTGACTGTCAACTGAAACCAATTGGCAATGAAGAGAGCAAATCTGAAAAGCAAACGCAGCTCAGAATGCAAAGATTTGATTCACCAAAGTGTCGTCCACCCCACCGATTGCGTTATGTAAAATATATGCACCAAACTTTCAGAAGACTAGAACAATCACACTCTAAGAATTCATTGTCAAAGCCATTGGCTAACACAGGCCTCCTGAACTTGAAACCACAAAACTCAATGCTCAAGGGCACAGCCAGGCAGGAATAAATTAGCACCCCTCTAGGTTTGCTTCTTTGAATTTTGATTTTATGATATTGGTGAATTTATTCATAAGAAGAACTTGAGCTTTTTTTTTTTTTCTTTACAATATGGCAACCCTGGTAACAAAAGGGGGAGGAGCTTGGAATTGTAGGAGAAATGGAATTTCACAGATGAGGAACACCACTGCCTGTGTGGCTACAGTGGGGTGCAGGTCCCTGGGAACCCCAGCTGGAACTGAGAATGGGGGTTGCCTAGAAACTAGCTCACCCCACAAGCCTGAGGTCCCTTCATTTAACAAATATTTGCTGTGCACCTCCTGTGTTCTATACACTGTCACAGGCACCAAGCATAAAGCAGTGACCGTACTGGACAAACTATCCCACCATAAAGTTTATTTGTCCTGACAGGGGACACATTGCAGCCACAGAATGAAGGAAGTGATGCTGTATGTCAGGGGATGAGACATGGTAGAGAAAGTCAAGCAGAGGCAGGAGCCCCGGGGTGCCCCAGTGTTGAGTTTGGGGAGATGGGAAGGAGATCAAACAGGAGCAGCCAGAGGGAAGATGGGGAGAGCTTGAAGGAGAGAGGTAAGTAGCTACCTCCAGGGTCCTGATGGGCCCCAGGAATCTGCTGTTGAGTTTGCCATGAGGAACTCTTTGGTGACCTTGGTAAAAGCCATGGTCTAAAATGATGGGCACATGCCCTGTTGGCATGGCCCAATAAGAAAGGAAGAAGGGGAATTGAATCCAACAAGGGCACAGAGAGGCAAAGAAAGGAGGCAGAAGCAGGTGGCCCTTGTCCTATGGTTCCTCATGTCCTTCCCCACAGCCGATCAACCATCTTTGTGCGTCTCCACACCAACGGGAATCAGGAGTTGCAGTACCAGCCTGGGGACCACCTGGGTGTCTTCCCTGGAAACCATGAGGACCTCGTGAATGCGCTCATTGAGCGGCTGGAGGACGCACCCCCTGCTAATCAGACGGTGAAGGTGGAGCTGCTGGAGGAGCGGAACACGGCTTTGGGTAATGCCCTCAGGGACCCTGCCATTCCTGATGACCCAGAGGTGGTGGGTGTGAGGGGAAAGGAGACCCCTTCCTTCTCCTGCTCACTAGTCTAGAAGGAGAGGGATTCTGGGGTTCCTGCAGCTCACAAGACAGACTCCCACTTCCTCATGGTTGGCCGATGTTGGCCCAACTGGCAGATCAGACACCATGATGCCAGGACACAGGTGGCTCACTGGGGAAAGAGTGTCTGCCTTCCCTCATTAAACACTCCTGGGAACAGCAGTCACAGCTCTTATTTCTTCCTCACCACCACCCTGCAGAAGAACCTATAGTCCTCCGCTGCCCACCAAGGAGAGAGCCACTCAAGTCCAATTCCGATTCCCCTCAGAAACAAAAGATCATGTAGGAAGCTTGATGGTGCTAGGGGGGTGGAACCCACACTGTGACTTATCAGGTCAAGTTCTCACTTATGTAAGTGGCCATCACTGACATGAGTCTTGAAGAACTTACTGTTTTTTGTCTGAGACACAGTCTCCAACTCACAATTCTCCTGACTCAGTCTCCCAAATGCTGGGATTACAGGTGTGTGCTGCTATAGCTGGCATAAAGAACTTCCAAAGGCAAATAGGCCTTAATGCTTCATCTTTATCCCAACAGGTACAGGTGGGCTCTGGGCTCCAATACAAAGTGCTATGGTACCTTCCATGGCAGCCTGTGACACTGTAATTGTCACCTTTACAAAACAGCCAGGGCAGAAAATGAAAGTAGCATGCACTCAAAGACTTCATAAAAATCCCTTGGGAAGGTGCCACTTTGGAGAGACACTCCTCCCTTCATACCTCCACCAGCCAGGTCTCCTCTGGGTTAGAACAGAGCTCTCCATCATGGCTGGAACTCCTGACCAGGGAGAGGTTGCGTTCAGGGCCATATTAAGTGGAAAGTTCACAAAACAGAACAATCACCCCTGAGCCTCCGTGGGGAGGCTCCCAGAGGACACCAAAATTCACAGATGCTCAAGTCCCTTAATATAAAATGGCACATACCTGTGCACATCTTCCTGCCTGCTTTAAGTCATCTTTGAAGTATAGACAATTTCAATCCTCTGTAGAATCCATGAGATATAAAACCTACCTATATGGAGAGCCAACATGTAATATACACCTGCCTGGCTTCACACGTAAAAGCATGTGACCTTAGAGTCCTTCACAGCTCTGTTTCCATTTTCCCCATGTGGACAATAATAACAGTCACCACCTAGGATTGTTCTGAGGATTAAATGAGCTGACAGCAGACCTAGACCTCTGCCTTGGACCAGAGCCTCCCCCACCTACCACTCACCTGCCATTTTGCCTCCCCAGGCGTCATCAGTAATTGGAAGGATGAGCCCCGCCTCCCGCCCTGCACCATCTTCCAGGCCTTCAAGTATTACCTGGACATCACCACGCCACCCACACCCCTACAGCTTCAGCAGTTCGCCTCCCTGGCCACCAACGAGAAAGAGAAACAGCGTCTGCTGGTCCTCAGCAAGGTGGGTTCCTGGGCTCCACCTAACTCTACAGGCTCCTGTCACCTCTTAGTGATTCTAAAACAGCGATTCCAACAGTTTCCCAGCAGGTGGCAGTCGTGAGCAGAGGGTGCCTTGTTCTCATTTGCACGTGGCCACCATGTTGGCGTGTCCATTTTGGCCAGTCCTAATCATCAACCCTGGTTTTAAGGCCTGACAGAATGAAGTGACTCCTCCCCCGACTGTGAAACTCAAAGTTCTCTGGCCACCATAGAAATTGCTATCCTAACTCTTTTTCTACCTTTCTTTGACTTTTTGAGCTTCCATGAGCTCTATCTTAGCCCATGATTGGAAGAAAAAGAAGGTTGTAACTTTTTTCCCATGGAAACAAGCTGTAGATAGCATTGCAAACGTAAGAGGCTCCTGATGGTGAGGTGACCCAAGCAAAGCTTTTACCTCCCTTGCTTAGACACCAAGGACTTGCCTGTCCTAAGCTCCTACCCAGGAGGACCACTCAGACTCTTCCCAGTAGGGTCTTCTTCTCAGTAAGAAACCCCCCAGCTTTTCTGCCTGGTATGGAGGGGGTGGGGGAGAAAGGGAGGGGATAGGGTAGGTAAGGAGGGGGCGGGAGGAAGGGGAGAGAATTGACCCAAACATTGTATGCACATATGAATTAAAAAAAAAAAAAGAAAACCCCAGCAAAGGATGTTTTTTCTATCCAGGAGAGGGGACTGAATGGGGAAGTGAGGGTAGCAAGGAAGAGGCTAATTAGCAAATGCATATTACTTAGAAATACGAAAATAAACACCAGAAGGCAGTTAAAGAGTTATTAAGTGGTTACCTCTGGGAGCTGGAAGCAGATGGCTGCAGTGGAACAGGACACCCTTATTTTTAATCATAAGTTTGGCAGAATTCTTTAACTTTTAGACTTTGTACATGTATAACTGATTTGAAACTTATAATTAATGGGGAAGGTAGTATGAAGAAGAACCATAGGTTGCACCATTTTGTACAGTATTATTTAAAGTAGGATTTGATAGAACCATATGTATAAGTCTATTCTTCCAAAAAAAAAAAAAAAAAAAAGCACAGTGTCCAAGATGGGATAAATGACCAAGGTTTTTAATTAGTGGAAATACCTGTGTGAGAGAAAATGGGAAAGGAGTCAGAGCTAGGAAACATAGGATCAAAAGCAGGGCCGACCCCAAGTGAAGGAAGAGGAGGGAAGGGGAGGGTTGAAGTGTCCTAGACTGCAGTGCAGGTTATGAAGGACAAGCGAGGTTCTTGTAAGTTTGAGCCAAAGTCATGGCCACCAGGGAAAATCCTGCCTTGGCATCTATTCCTTCTGTGCTCAGTCATAGACTGGGAACAGCCTACGGGAAGCCAGACCTGGCAGTGACACAGGTGATAGAGGTCAGCATCAGTGGAGATCCGTGCCAGGTAGAGGTCAGTGTCAAGTGGAAGTAAGGTCAGGTGAAGGTCATTGTGAAGGGGAGGTCTGGTAAGTGTTCTCTCAGAGTCTCCACTGAGGACTCTCCACCAGCAGCTGGAGGTTGGTGAGGCTGGGGGCTGGGAACGTGTGCTCTCATAAGACAAGGGCAGTCTTTAGGAACCGGCTCTACAGTACACTGTTACGCAATGCCCTCATAATCAGCTTTACCCACAGGCTGAGATGCAGGAAAAGCAACCCAGAGCCCCAGAGATTTCCTGTGTTCCCTGGGAACAGCTGGGCTTTGCTGGGAACCCACCCTGAACATGGTCCTCCACCTGTTTTCCCACGCTGTCAGAGACCATCTCCCAACCCTCGGAGGATTGATTCCCAGCCTCAGCAACCAGCAAATCGCTTGTTTGCATCCTGTGCTTGCTCTGCCTGACACAGCTCGTTGAGTCAGTAATCCACAATGCCACAGTGTGTCACTTTTGACCTTCAGGACAGTGTAATGGTTAGGGATGCAGATTCTTGGGCCAGACTACCTAGATAGCAGATTTTTCTGTGAAAGGCCAGGTAGTGAATATTTTAGGCTCATGTTCCCTTTGACCTCTGTTGCAACTGTTCAACTCTGCAATTGTAGTAGGACAGGAAAACAATTGGTAAATGATGTGACTGTGTCCACAAAATGAACACTAAATTTGAATTCCATATTGTATACTGGTGTCATAAAATATTATTCTTCTTTTGATTTTTTTCCCAAACATTTAAAAATATAAAAACAATTCGTACCTCAAGAGCCAAACCTGTTTTTGTGGCATGCCAGGATTGGCTTGTAGGCTGAAACTTGCCACCTCCTGGCTTAGATTTATCTCCCAGTCCTATTGTCCTAATAGCCATAGGACCTGTGTACCCCTTAGTGTGCTCATCCATAAAATGGGAATAACAATAATATTTGCTATGGGCTGAATGTTTGTGTGTCCTCCCAAAATTCATATATTGAAACCTAATCCCCATGTACCAGCACCTAACAGTCAGGTGGTGGTATTAACTGGTAGAATTTGGGTTGGGGATGTGTCTCTGATAGAGTGCTTGCCTAGCATGTGTAAGGCTCTGGGTTCGATCCCCAGCACTGCAAAATAAAATAAGAAGTGATTGGATCAGGAGAGGGGTCTGCCCTTATGAATTGTCTTTATAAAAGAGCCTGAGAGAGCTGGTTTGTCCCTTTGCTAAGTGAGGACACGTGGCAGGTGCCATCCACAAACAGTAGGTTCTCACCAGACACCAGATTTGCTGGTGCCTTGAATGTGAACTTCTAAAACCATGAGTTCTACGTTTTATCATCTGGATTAAGTAGCCTGAGGTATTTCATAGCAGCCCCGAGGGCCTAATATGGTACTTATTTCATAAATCCTCAGGGGATTAAAGCCTGGTGCTGAAGAATCCTGATGGGGAGTGTTCACTGTTTATATTTTATTCTGCCGTCTTCCCTATACCTCCTCAAGGCCCCAGCAAAAGTACAGGGAGTGGGACTTAAGCTTCTCTCTGTCCTCTCTTGGTCCAGGGGCTACAGGAGTATGAGGAGTGGAAATGGGGTAAGAACCCCACCATGGTGGAAGTGCTGGAGGAGTTCCCATCCATCCAGATGCCCGCCACCCTGCTCCTTACCCAGCTGTCTCTGCTGCAGCCACGCTACTACTCCATCAGCTCCTCCCCAGACATGTACCCTGATGAGGTGCACCTCACAGTGGCCATCGTCTCCTACCACACCCGAGGTGGGCAGAGGCACCAAGCCCCCATCTGTGTTTTACCCCCAAGGCTTCTGGAGATCCCTCCCTGAGCTACTGCCCCAGGTCCCGCCCCACATCCATGCAGGACAGTCCCACCCACAGCCAGGAAAGGGAGGAAAGACCACCAAGCAGGCAGGTGGTCCTTCAGCAGAATTGGGAAAGGGGCAGGGTGTGGGCTGGAGGAGTGGCTCAAGTGGTAGAGCGCTTGCCAAGCAAGTGTGAAGTTCTGAATTTAAACCCCAGTATCACCAAAAATAATATTAATAATAAAAGAGGTAAGATGTGCATTTGAGGTCTTGGCTCTTCCCAGTCTGAGACCCCCCCCTGAGACCCCCCCCTGCTTTGACTCACTCCATCCCTTTGGGCTCCAAGGCAGCACCTAGACAACCATCCTCACCATTCCCTGTGCATCAGGACCCAGTTGATTGTTACCAGATGCCTCCAGTTCTGCTAGTGTATTTCCCAATTAAAATGCACAGTGCCTGAGGCTCTGACACCAGGATCCTGGCAAGCCACCCAGAGCACACTGACCCAGGCCGTGGAGTGGGTAAGATCAGTGTAGCCCATCCATACCTAACAGAACCCTAGGCAGGTGCACAGACACCATCCCCCTACACCGCCTCCAGCTGTGCTGGTTCCTCTTCCCTTAGGAGGAAGGGATTCAGACCAGGAATTCCAAGGCAGGAACTTGGCATTGCCCTGCAAGCAAGCCTTCGCACTGAAGGGTGTAGGGAGGTCAGGTGGGGAAGGTGGGGGCAGTGGGTAAGCCAGACCGCTGCTTATTCTGCTAGATGGAGAAGGGCCAATTCACCACGGCGTGTGCTCCTCCTGGCTCAACCGGATCCCAGCTGACGAGCTGGTCCCCTGCTTCGTGAGAGGGTGAGTAACTGGAAGAGAGATGAGTGGCTGTCTCAGATCTGCACTTGATGTCATGAGTCGGGTGGGTGGACAAGCCTGAAGGGTTCTTGGAGAGATGGCTGGTGGGGTGAGCCAGTGCCCTGCATCACTCCATGTTGTTAAAGAAACAAGATCAACAGAGCGACACAGCCAGCTAAGCATGTCCTCTAGGCAAGGTCAAAGTCAATGAAAATACATGTATTCTGCTACGTGCTGGAGCTACAGGGAAGAAGCAGGCAGATAGAGTCTCAGCCTTCATGGACGTCACAGACTAGTGGAAATTCTATCCAGCTTTTACTGGTCACCCCCAACCTGTCACCACTCCCCACCCATCAATGGCAGCTTTTCCTCCCAGCTCAGTTTTAAAGGATACACCTGAGCTTAGACACATGATAGACACCTGCTCTGTCAACCAGTAACTTCTCGGCCTGAACAGTGAGCTTGGAAAGCCATTTTTCTCAGCTGTTGAGGGTAAGATGCTCGCAGTATGGTCCTTAACACACACAGCCCCACAACAAAGGAGCTTCCACCCAGAGTCAAAAGACTTTTCATATTATTATTATTCCCTAAACAATACGACAACTATTTGCATTGTATTAAAGTAATATAAGTCATCTGGAGATGGTTTGAAGTGTTCAGGAGGATATGCTTGGGTTCTGTGCAAATCCTACCGCCATTTTACATATGGGTCTTGAGCATCTGCAGATTTTGGTACCCAAGAAGAGGCCCTGTGAATACTGAGGGACTATTTCCATTTTGCACATGAGGGAAAACTGAGATTTCTTAGACAGTTAAGCAATCTGCTATCGTCACACAGAGTAGGGATTTGAACCCAGGCAGAGAAACTCTAGGTTAGCTCAGTACCTTCTGTGGCCAAGCTGGGCAATGAGAACTGGGGAATGGGGTCAGATCCTGAGGACCTCCTGTCTGGGGACTTCCCCTAATCTGTGGCCTCCTACCCTGTGGCCCAGCTGTAGGGCTGTCTCATTGTATCTCCCCAAGATGGCCACCACTGCTACCTTAGGCGCCACAGTTCCTGATCAGAGCTAAGCTCAGCCAGACTTCTCTCTCGTCCTTGTCCAGTGCCCCCAGCTTCCACCTGCCCCGAAATCCCCAGGTCCCCTGCATCCTGGTTGGCCCAGGCACTGGCATTGCCCCCTTCCGAAGCTTCTGGCAGCAACGGCAATTTGACATCCAACACAAAGGTGGGTATAATCCAGCAGCCATACATGTCCACCCTGTGTCTCAGCCCCCCCAAAGAATGGGGCAGCAGCCTCTGCAATGCTTCACCCAGATCTTCCATGGACATAGCCTGTCCTAGGGTCCTGGAGTCCCATCCTCAGAGGGTATTTCTTTGACTGTTGAGAGGTGGCCTGCTCTAAAAATTCCATATCCCTAGAAGGATATTGGAAATAAGGAGTTGCCATTCGTCTTTATCAAATGGGTATGTTCACAGACTGTCCCACAGGCTGTGAGAGATACAACAACTTGGGAAAAAGACAGGGAATCTCTTTTTAGGTGATTCATTGAGCACCTAATAAATACCCAACCCTACTGTAGGTGCTGAGGACATAGCAATAAACAAGGGAGAAGAGCATCTGAAGCAAAAATAAACACCTGCCCCATGGAACCATACACGTACAGCACAGCTAGCAGCTATAAAGAATGTTCCAGCTACTAGGCCCAGTTTTCCTGTAGATATTATTACAGTCGCTCTACATTTCTTACCTGTGGGTTCTGAATCCCTACCTCACCCAACTGCAGAGCAAGGGCTGGGGCATGGCTCAAATGGTAGAGCACCTGCCTAGCAAGTGTGAGGACCTGAGTTCAAACCCCAGTATCACCCAAAACAAGACAAAGCTGCTGATCAAAAATAAATTTTTTTAAGAAATAAATGAGTCTGGATTGGACATGAACAGACTTTTCTTCTTGTCATCATTCCCTAAATAATACAATATAACAAGTATTTGCATTGCATTAAGTAATATAAGTCATCTGGAGAGGGTTGAAGTGTACAGAAGGATGTGCTTGGGTTCTGTGCAAATCCTACACCATTTCACAACTGGGTTTTGAGTATCTGCAGATTTTGGTACCTAAGAAGGACCCCTGTGAACACTGAGGGGCAACTATGTTTTGCACATAGTGGGGTCGGGGTGGGGGGGGATCTGAGACAAAGTCAGGCAAGCTGCTCACTGTCACACGAGCGGGTATTCCAGCCCAGGTGGCATAGCTCAGGTCTGGATTCTCAACAGCGCTCCCTGGTGGGGGCTGCTGAATAGTCTGTGAACACGCTTCACCTTCTCCCTGCAGCAAGTGTGTGCGTGTGCATGTGTGCACACACACCCTACCTGCCTGTCCGTGTTCATGAGTTTCTATCTGCATGTACCCTGAGAGTCCAGCACCCCACCTCTTCACCTCCCCTCACCCCCCACTCAGCCATCACAGCCAATAGTGACATTGGTCTTCCTGGTCCCCAGGAATTAGTCCCTGCCCCATGGTCCTGGTGTTCGGGTGTCGGCAGTCCAAGATTGACCATATCTACAAGGAGGAGACCTTACAGGCCAAGAACAAGGGGGTCTTCCGAGAGCTGTACACAGCCTACTCCCGGGAGCCAGACAAACCAAAGGTAACCCTTGCAGACATGTCGGTGGGTTTACTGATCCCATCTCTGTGAATCTGCTCTGTATCTCAGAAGGCCTGGAAAGGAAGGTCATCTGTTTTAAATATTCGCATGATTCTATTATATTACATGATTCTAGAACAGGCAGATCCAAGCAGATCAGTGGTTGCCAGGGGCTGGAGGAAGGCAGGAAATGAGGTCTGGCTGCCTAATGGATACAGGGGCTTCTGTTTGGAGTGACAAGAAAATTCTGGAGCTGGATGTCAGTGACAGTAGCACTACATCATGAGTGTATTTGATAATCACTGAACTGTATACTGTCAGGTAGCAAAAATGGTAAATTGTGTATTAAGTGTATTTTACCACAATTAAAAAATATTTAAGCCAGGTATGGTGGCACATACCTGTAATCCCAGCTACTTGGCAGAGGCAGAGGGGGGAGTTCGAGACCAGCCCAGGCAAAGACAGAGACTCTATCTCAAAAATAAAAATACGAACAAGAGAGCAGGGAGGGGCCAAACGTGAGGCTCCGAGTTCAAATCCCACTACCACCAAAAGGGCTGGGGGCATGGCTCAAGTAGGAGAGTGCTTGCTTAGCATGTGTGAGGCCCTGGGTCCAATCCCCAGTACCTAAAAAACAATTTTTTTTTAATTTAAAAATAGGGACTTTAAAAATATATATTTAAGGCTGGGCTGTGTGGCCCATGCCTGTAATCCTAGCTACTCAGGAGGCAGGTCAGGAGGATATTGGTTCAGAAGCCCAGGCAAATAGTTCTTGAGAGCCTATCTCAAAAAAATCCATCAGAAAAAGGACTGTGGAGTGGCTCAAGGAGTAGAGCACCTGCCTAGTAAGTGTGAGGCCCTGAGTTCATTGTATGTAAGAGCCAACACCCATCAGAATGGTCACGGGCCACAGGTGATGGTTCTGTTTCATCTTGGGAAGGTCCAAGAGTCTTAGGGAAGAGACCAGGATACCCAGGGGTGGTGGCACTCAGAGCCTGTGGGCAGTGGCTATCTGACAGCTGGTGTGGAGTATCGTCAATATTAAAACCCAGTTCCAGATGCACAGGACTTAGCTCCATGAGGCTGGGTGCAGTGGTGTAACCCCAGCTATTCAGGAGGCAGAGAAAGGGAGGGTCAGGGGCTGCTTCTCACCCTTCCTCCTGGTCCCACAGAAGTACGTGCAGGACGTCCTACAGGAACAGCTGGCCGAGCCCGTGTACCGAGCCCTGAAGGAACAGGGGGCCACATTTACGTCTGTGGGGATGTCACTATGGCTGCCGATGTCCTCAAAGCCATCCAGCGCATCATGACCCAGCAGGGGAAACTTCCGAGGAAGATGCCGGCCTGTTCATCAGCAGGCTGAGGGTGAGTGACAGGCCAGCTTCTCAGACCTCTCTCTGGCATCAGGTTTCCTGTCCCTTCTTCCTCACACCACCTGCCTCACTGATCAAGGGAGCCATGATGATATCCTTACAGCTGGGGTTAGATGTCAGTGGGCTTTGGGTGCATACAGTAAATATGGCTGCAATCTGTAGAGTGTGTGAAATTAACAAGTGGGTGGACCTCTGAGTAGCTAGACAGAAACCACCAAATTCAATTTTTCCTACCCTGGGAACCAAGCCATAGCACTGCCCTGTACAGTTGTACAGGTTAAGCACTGCACAAAAAGATCTTACGTAGAACAGCAGGTAGAGTCTGAAAGCCACAGCCCCTGCTTGGCTCTCCAAGCCACTCACCTGAGTGTGGAGCTGTGTCCATCTGGAAGGAAGAGCCTTTTCCTGCTCCTGGCAGCTCAGCCATCGAAGTCCTAGCTGTGTGACCAACTGTGGGGAACAGATTACGAGAAGCCTAGGCAAAATGCAGCACAGCTGCTTTTCCTAAAGTGCTTGCATTCAGAGAAGTAGGAACACAGGTTTCTCTTGTTACGATGTCACGCCCCTCCCCGAGAACTGCTGCTCCACCTCCTTGTTTACCACTGGGTATAAAAGACTCCCCAAAGGAGGACGTGGGGTTTTTGGATAGGGGATTGATTGGTAAGCTGCTGCTGCTGAGTTATGCTAGAGATTAGAGGAAACATGGAACAGTGCCAGTCTAAGGAAAGAGACTTTAATGAATAGAAAAGAAGCAAGGTTTTAAAGAAACTTTAGAACCAAGGTTTTAAATAATAGAGAAGTAAAAGAAGAATTAATAGAGAAAAGAAGCAACCAGGCTGTTGTGCGTCTCCATCCAAGCATCCAACACATCTGACCCCAGCTTTGTGCATGTTTGTCGATCGTTTGTCCTTTCTGCATCTCCCATCACCCCCAGTTACGTCGGTAGTAACAGGAGTGACCAACTAACTGCCCCACACAGAAAAGCAAACCGAGTCCTAGACCTCCACAGAGCTCCAGAGTTGACCCCACTCCTCCCGTTTTCCCAAATGAGCAGTGATGAAGCGTGTTTGTGGCAGAAGCCCTTCCCCTAAATATGCTAAACCCCAGTAAGTGACAACAGAACTTTCTGATAAGAATTGTCACAGTCCCAAGAGAGTGGTGGCACCCATCCTCTCCTGTCCCTTTAACACTGACCCTCAGGAGTCACTTTCATAGGCTCCCCGAGGACTTTGCAGAATAGAGCTGAGAAGCCGTTCCCAGGTGGGAATGTACCCGCCCGCTCCCCAGAGGAGCAACATCTTCCAACCCTCCAGGACCAAGCCCCGTCCCAGATGCCGCCTCTCCTCTGTCATGATGCAGTTTCCCTGCCTTTGAGCCTCAAAGTCTCTGCCCTTGCAAATGCCCTTGACCTCCAACCCCTCAGATCTGCCAGAGCGGCTCCTATCGTTTCTGAAAGTCTCAGATAATCTGCCTGCATTTTGGGCAGCTGTGGGTGCTCCCTGGGTGCGACACACCACGTTCTCTTTCCCCCTGTCCTCTGCTCTCTGCATGGGTTGGAGCACATTACACTTAGTCTGCCTTGCCCACATCTGAACTTGCAGGAGCAAGTTCAAGGGGGAGGAGGGAGAGTGGCAAGGTTTCCATCTAGCCTCATGGCCTCTTATGGGCTCAGAATCCACAGTGTCCCTGTTTCCAGATGACATCAGTGACATTTGCCATCACTGGGCTAGAGGGGCCCTGTGCCCCCCCAGGGCAGAGTCCTGCATGCTGACACAGAGTCTTAAAAACCACAGGTACCCTGAGGAACGGGCTCAGAAGCCTTTCTGTTGGAACCATCTTTTTTAGGCATATTTCATTCCTGGTATCTCCATGTCTGCCTCCACCCCACCCCAGGCTCTTGCATTTGATTTGCGGTCTCTTCCCTAACTGTTTCTGCTCCCCAGGATGACAACCGGTACCATGAGGATATTTTTGGAGTCACCCTGAGAACATATGAAGTGACCAACCGACTTAGATCTGAGTCCATTGCCTTCATTGAAGAGAGCAAAAAAGACACAGATGAGTAAGTGGCTCCACCCCTTGGGGGAGGGCAGGCAGAGCTCTGTCTTCCAGTCCAGTGAGCAGAGATGTCTGAGCTTCCCACGGTGGGGGTCCCCAGACCAGCAGCAGCAGCACCATCCAGGCCTGTGTTAGAAATGCATATTCCTGCCAGGGATGGTGGTGCACACCTGTAATCTCAGCACTCAAGAGGCTGAGACAGGAGGACCATGAACCTGAGGCCAGCCTGGGCTACATAGTGAGTTCAAGGCACACCCGGGCTGTATGCTAAGATTCTGCCTTAAGGAAAGAAGGAAGGGAGATAGGGCAGGGGGAGGGAAAGAAAGGTGGGAGGAAGGGAGAGAGTGAAGAAGGGAGGGAGGGAGGATGGAAGGAAGGAAGAAAGGAAGGAAGCAAGGAAGGAAGGAAGGTAGGAAGGGATGGAGGGAGAGAGGGAAGAAGGAAGGAAGGAAGGAAGGAGGGAGAGAAGGTGGGAGAGAAGGAAGGGTGGGAAAGAAGGAAGGATGTGAGGGAGGAGGAAAGGAAGGAAAGAAGGAAAGATGGGAAGGAGGGAGGAAGGGAGAGAAAGGAAGGAAGAAGGAGGGAGGGAAGGGAAGGAGGAAGGGGGAGGGAAGAAAGGAAGGGAGAGAAGGTGGGAAGAAGGAGGAAGAGCAGGAGGGAAGGAAGGAAAGAGGAAGGAAGGGAGGGAGGGAGGGAGGGAGGGAGGAAGGGAGGAAGAGAGGCAAGGAAAGAGAAAAGAAAGAAAAATTTAAAATTCTCAGCAGCCCCAGACCTGCTGAATCTGAAATCTGGAAGTTGGGACACAGCAGTTAGCATATTAACTCTGAGGTCCCGAGTGTGGGGAACCCCTGCTTTGGATGCCAGCATCCATCTAGGGCACCCTCTAGTGGAAGAAGGAACTTCCAGCCTCTTGGAAGTTGTATTTCTACTCACTGCTACAGCCCTTGGTGCCAGCCCCTCACGCTGCAAATCACTGGGGGCTTTCTCAGTGGTGCAAATCACAATGCATAGGATTTTGACAGTTTCCCTCAGCCTCTAGAAATTGCTGGAAACAGCCTGAGGCAGCAGGACACTGAGTCGTGGTCTCATGATTGCAATTTTGCTCCTTTCCCCAGCCTCCACCTCGGCCCCTGTCCTATTCCCTTAAAGCAGGCAGGGGCTCAGCTGTCTCTCTTGCAGCAACACAAGGCACACACTCATTTCTTAAACTCAGCATCTTCTGTTTTCTCCTTATGGCAACACAGCTACGTCATACTTTGGGTCCCCTAGGCTCAGGCTTAAAGCTCACACCTTCCTTGATTGATTGTCAAACGCCTCATTTTGTGTCTCTCTTCCTGGGCCCTACTATGTGCCTGGTCTCATCCAACACACTAGGGCTACAGAAGCTCCCAAGCCCAGGTGCTGGGATTATAGGTATGCACCACTATGCCTAGCTATCTCTTGATGGAAGCAGAGTGGCACTAACATTCTCCAACAGGGTTTTCAGCTCCTAACCGGATCTTCCTGCCCAGATGGCCGGCAGGGTGGCCACCCCAAGTGCTCCAGCGAGGGCGGCCACAGGTTCCCAAGCGCGGACACACATGGCTGAACCTTTCCCACCGGACCCCACGTGGCCCTCCGCTCTGCCTCTCGTCCTGTCGTTGTGTCCTGGTCCTCCTCTTCTGGGTTCTCACCCCTCAGTGGTGTCCTCGGCCCCCTGCTGCAACGCAACACCTGTATACTCTGCGTGGCTCTTACGAAACCGTGTCCTCCCACCCTCTCGCTGCCTGGGGCAGGTCACGGTGCATGAAACCACTGGATCGCGGCCATCGCTCCTGTTAGGGTCTGTCATCCAGAGTCCCCTGGGAAGGCACTAGGCACTGAACCTCAGAAATCTCCTGGGCCAGTCCCTCAGCCGCTCAAGTCCCCCCCCCAATCCTTTTTTATGGTGCCGTTTTGCTCGTGCGCATGTGTGCGCGTGTGTGACAGGCCGGGTCTCTGTCTGTCCTCTTCCCTGTGCAAACATGTTACTCATAGATCGAACTCTTTCACAGAGGACCTGCGGTGGTCCGTGTTAATTCCCTGTGTGTCCATAACAAAGGGTGTATGTCAATGTCCCTGGAAGACTTGGAAGCCCCTTAATTGTCCTGGTTTAAAAAAAAAAGGGGGGGGGGATTCAGGGACTGAGGAAGGAGGTTTGAGGACAGAGAGGAAAATCTTCCCTACAGAATTTGATGTGTTTAGGTTCTGACAAGTCCGCACAGTGCTCACTGGGAAACGAACCGATCTAACAGTCTAGTAAACCCTGTCTCCAAATACACTCACCCCAGCCAGGACACCTGATGGGGTCACATTCAGTGCGCCCCCTCGCCAGGCATTCCCAGCTATGAGGCCCAGAAATCATGCAGCCAGAGGGACTATGCTGTAAATAAGGGCCTTTCCATCTTGCCACTGAACCACCTGCTCTCAGTTTGCTCCAGTCACCCTTTTATGAACCTAAAGAATGTGAGTAGATCAGGCTTTAACACTTGGGAACCTGGAAGCAATATCAAGAAAGAATATGATTGCTGTTTTTTTTTAATTCCTCCAAATAAGGTTTGCCACTTCACCCTTGGGGATTAAGTCATGAAAGCCAGTTTTAAGGAACCAGAGTAGAGAGAGATGACGTCATGACGAACTACCAGGATTCTTCTGGTAGGAACCACGACTCAGGATGGGAAGAAACTGGCCCTTGGGCCTGCTGAAATAATTTTGACAGATAGCCTTGACTCAGATCCCCAAAAAATGGACAACAAAGCGTCAAGAAGGAATTAGGACAATTTTTCCCTCAGAGGCAGCCTACTGAGTTCCCCTTCTCAGATTAAGTGGGGTGGGAGAGCTAAATCAGTGTCAGGTGGCAATGAAAGACAGCCAAGAAATCCTCATGTCCCCAGCCTCAAGGATCACTCCTGGGTCCCCAGTTCTGTCCTGTTCTGTTCTGGTCTGTTTCGGTTGGTCAGATTGAAAGGTTACATTTCCTTATGTCCTGTCATGGACATTTCTTTCTTCATGCTCAATTTGGAGGCCTGTCAAAGAGAAAGTGTCATGGCTTTGGAAGGGATATCCAGTTTGGAGTACCAACACCCTAAAGGCTGCAACCCCTTAAGGTTAAAAGGCAAATCAGGTCTCATTTTCTCCACTCCACCCTCCCTGATGACCCCACTCGAGACCCCAACCCTGGCATGTAGTTACCACCTCACCTGCCTCTCTTTAATCCCACTTTGTCCTGCTCAGTCTTCCATGGATATAGGAACTGAGCATCTCAGTCAAGCTTGGAGGGAAACCTTCATAGCCCTTTCTTTCCTGTCTCAAGTCTGGCTGGTTTTAAGTCACTCTTCTCCCAGCTGCTTTGTTTCTGCTCCTTTGAGACTTTGGGGACACTGTCTCAGATATCACTAATTCCCTGAACTGCTATGTCCTTCTTCAAACCAAGATTCCTGCAGGAACGACTTTGCACTGTGTACTTACTATGTGTTGGGCACCTTCTGTGTGTCTTTGTCCTCTTAATAGCAGACAGACAGATGGAAACCTTCTTTCATTTTGTCAGAGAGTGCAAAGAAATTATTTGTAACCAAAATCATCTTTCTTCCAAAAGGAACTTTTTTGGGGATGTGATGCTGGGGATTGAACCCAGGGACTCCCAAATACTAGGCAAGTGCTCTACCACTGAGCCACACTGCCAGACCCCAGAAGAACTTGTTTTAAGACCTTTGAAACACCACATAAGCTGCTTCATACAGGAGCTTAATCTGATGATTTCCCTCCTTTGCTGGGATCCCTCAGAACCAAAAAGCCCTATTGCCTTGAGAAAGCCTATCAAGGGTCAGAGAGCAGAGTAGGGTTGTGGGGTAGCTCTGATTCAAAGAGGATAAATACTTCCTTCTGCTGGCAGATTTTAGTTCAGACCCCATAACCAACAATAGATGCAAAATGAGATTTTTGCAGTAGGTAAACAAAGTCAGGGTGGACTGGGTTCTTGTGGCCCATTTATTTTCCCTCTCTCTCTCTCTGAAAAATGAGCCCCGTTTTGCAAAAGTGGGTTTGACCAGGAGGAATGAGATACCCACGAGACAGGAGCCCATCACATCCCATTGTCCTATTACCACTGTGACTCCAGCATGGAACTGCAGAAGACATTAAGTCCCAGAAGGGGAGGGGGCCTCCCCAGGGTCCTGGGAGTGAGACAGCCAGGTGTTGAATTTCCTGTGGGAGAAAATGATTCAGATCCACCAAAATAGACTTTTGAAAGCAGACCTGAGTCCAAACCCTAACCGCACCTGGCTTTTGCAGATGTCTGTGGGGGCTGGGTAATTGAGCTTTCCCAGTCTACAGATCTAGCTGTACAAAGAAGGTGAATTGCTTGAGACAGTGTGGAGTTACAGTTGTCTGGCCCAAATGTTGAAGACCTTGCTTCTGCAGGGCGTGGAAGGAAGTGTCCAGAGAACAGAAAAACAGTTCTTCCGTGTCAGAATCTGGTGGGTAGAGATGCTGTTCTCAGAATTGACCAGGCTTTGAGAAGACATGGGTGAGAGTTCGCTGGTGGATTTCGGAAGATATGAGCTTACCAGGAAGTGGGCAAAACAAAAGGGAAGAGACAGGAGAACCGGAGGGTGAATCCTGCTGTTTTGGAAGGCCGAGGAGATCAGGGCAGGGAGGCAAGCACTGGGAAGAGCTGTAGAAGCCAGGCAACAGATATGGTAAGTGGCATGGTGACTTCATTTTTTAGACAACTGGTAGACCTCAGTACATTTTTCTGACATCTCCAGTCACTTTGAGTTATGCTTGGAAAAGAAGGTGTGGTTGAAGCAGCCACTGTGGGCAGCCCATAGTCTTTGGCCAATTATTATTGCCACCAAGATGGAAGCCAGGGAAGAAGTAGCTAGAGTAATAGATTCCAGGGGATGAATCTACAGGACCTGGTGCCCTGTCTGTCTTGGATGGAGAGTAAGGACAATAACTAGCATAAAGCTGTGTCCTTAACTGACAGTGGGGCGGTCCAGCAAAACCTAGACACAAAGGAAGAAAACTGAGCCCGGCTAACAGACTAACCCTCCTCTCAGTAGCACCTGCTTCCAGTCTCCAAAAAGCTCAGATTTTGTCCTCAGCCCAAAACAAGGGAGAGGTGTTCTGACCCAAATCACAGGATAAGTGGTTCCTGCTAGGTTGGGCCCCTCCCTCCCTACACCATTTGAAAACTGAGAGCTTCTGGATTGTTTTAAGCCAGCCACGTTTGCTTATATAGTTCCATCTTGAAGAAGGCCTTGCCTCCCAAGAACCAAACACAGACAATCCCCACGGACATGGAGTTGGCCTTTGGGGGCCAAGACTGACCTGACCTCCTGGCTTTCTCTCACACTCACCCCTTTTCCCCAGTTCTCTGCCAGTCCCCACCTGGTGACAAAAGGAGCCTGGAAAGAAAAGTTTCCACTCCCCAAACCCTCTTGTGTCTCCAATATGGCATATGGGCATCTGTTCTTATTACAAGTTGAGCATTCTTTTTTTGTCTTTTTTTTTTTTCCAGTACTGGGGTTGAACTCAGAGCCTACACCTTGAGTTACTCCACCAGTCCTTTTTTTATGAAGAGATAGGGTCTCGTGAACTATTTGCCAGGGCTGGTTTCAAAGTTCAATCCTCCTGATATCTGCCTGAGTAGCTAGGATTACAGGTGTGAGGAAATTGAGTGTTCTTGATCCCCAAATCCCAAAATCCAAAATGCTCCAAAATCCAAAACATTTTAAGCCCTGCAAATGGAAAATTCATTTCATGCACAAAATTATTTACAATATTGAATAAAATCATCAAGCTATGTGCGTAAGTATCTGAAACAGGTCCTGTTAGACTTGGATTCCACCCCCCAAGGTATCCATTATATAGACGTAAATATTGCAAAATCAAAAATAATTTCCAAAATCAAAAACGCTCTGGTCCCAAGCACTTCAGCTAAGGAACACAGCCTGGAGTCCTTGCTGGGAGTGGCAAAAGTCAACATGCTTTGAGCTTGTTTTGCCCTGTTATATCCAAGCAGTTCTGAACAAATGGGCACCTCCACCCAACCCACTCCGCCCTAAGGCTGCAGCCCTGGCAGGCAGAAGCAAATGTGCCTTAATGCACAGCCTCTTAGACAACGCATCAAGGACATGGAAATGCCCAGACTTGGCTCCAAATTTTTGGGAGCCTCTATCCCAGGGCGGCCCATCAGCCTGAGCATTGTTGGGTTTGGGGGCTGGATCTTTCTGTGTCCTGGGGGCTGTCACTGGCATCGTAGGTTGTTGAGCTGTACCTGTGGCCTCTCCCTACTTGATGCTGGCAGCAGTCTTGTGGCAATTGTGACAGCACATAGGTCTCCAGACAGTGTCAGTGTCTCCTAGGAGGTGATAACCCATCCCTTGGATTGACAACCATTGCTTTTGTACATCAGGGACTGGCCACTAGTGGTCCCCCTGGAATTTTTCATTATAGACCTGAAAGCCAACAAGGCTTCCCTCATCTCAACGACCATCTTCATCATCTGCTTCCAAACTGAGACTCGAAAGATTTGTAGAGGAGAAAATCGTATGGCTTCACAAATGTCCTTCCAAGCCAGAAGGATGGATGGTTCCATTTTGATAAGACACTGTGTCCTTGCCATTGATTCTAATTAAGAAACACCGAGACCCTGTGCTCTTGAGCAAGGTGTGAGGCCTCCCCGTGGGCCCGCCCTGTTATGTTGTTGTGGTGTTGTGACTCTAAGACTCACTCTAGGTTCCAAAGTGGCTTTTCAACAGGCCCAGAGAACAGGATCAGTCACCCCTTATGGCTGTACCCACAGGTAACCATTCTGGGGTTGGAGTGGCTGGGCAGATGGGCAGAGCTGGGGTTCCAGCTCACCACGCACACACTGTCAGAAGTTCAGATGTCCCCCTACCTCTGACCTCTGACCTCTTGATGCTGCTAATCTCTGCCAAGTGTCCCATGTGCTCCAGCACTTTCCTCAACGGACCGATGCCCCATGCTCCTCGCCAGGTCGTCCAGGCTGTGTTCACCGCATGCTCTTTTTCTGTATAGATATCATCTTCTGATTTTATGGGATTCAACAAAAAAGCCTACTTATGCCTGTTTGCATTATGGTGAAAACATTAAAAAGTGGACTTGACTTGGCCGGCTAGTGTCTTCTGTCGCATTTCCTTGGAATTTCTCACGTCTGCCTGCTGTCACAGCTCAGGTACCCGGGGAGCTCACAGTGAGACAGAGTTGGAGGAGGCTGATAAGGGGGTGGTCTTAGGAAGGGGAGAGGAAGTCCAGCTGGTCACAGGGAAAGCCTAAGCCACCTCATCATCTCAGTAGACACCTTAGCCAGCCCTGCAGGGAATTCAAAAATGACATTTCAGAGGTGTCCTAATTCAGGAATAGAAGGCTGAGTTTTATACCTCTACATCAGTTCCTCCTGGGCAAGGTGAAGCCACCTCCAAGGGGCTGAACCTGAAGACACTCCCAGCTGCAGTGGGAGATAAGTTCTGATGCACATCCGGGTAGAGTAGCTCAGCACCGTCTCTACCTCCTCCCCAGAACCCCCATCTCCCATCACAGCTGCATTGGTAGGAGGGGCCCCAGAGAAATTCAGCACCACCGGCACCTTGGCCATTCTTGCCTATGCACACAGCCCTGAGGACCCCAGAGGTCCTGGTTTGAGATCCAGTTCCACAAGGAAGAGACCTCAAAAGTTCTACAAGTACAGCTGAAGAGGCACTGGTCTCAGACGCCCTGCCAGGTTGGTTACTATAAAGGCATTGACTGGGAATGGGTGGGGGCTGAGACTTTGCCACGAACTTCTGGACACAGCCATTGGGGTGCTGGGGCCATTGTGACCGTCACACAACTTCCTGATGCTAAGCCACAAGCCATTAAACATCCAGCTTTTTGAATTACAATGTCACCCTCCCTCAAAACACACACCCCATCCTAACTTCTCAGTCCTATCTCTGAGCCTCAAGTCCAAGGTCAAGTATAAAATGAAGGTCAGAGACAGAACAAGCGTCAGGGAAATCTTCTCAGGCCCTACTCCTTGATGTCCTACAAAATTTATTAGCTGATTAAATAATGGCTAGCAGTTACAAAAAGCCAGTCTTTAAGAATACTTAGTCCTACAGGACAGTCATGCATTGCTCAGGGTGGGATATGATCAGAGAGTCCATTGTCAGCGAAATGTCGTTATTTAGCATATGTCTCTCCCTGACTTAAAGCTTGGGAAACTGAGGCATAAGGAGACTGACAGCTGCACAAAGACAACAGCTAGGAAATGTTGGAGATAGGATTTGAACCCAGGCTGCCCAGCCCAAGAACCTGCATTCTTCTCTACTGCCCTATGCTGCTAACACAACCAGACTCTCTTGGTTCAAATCCCAGCTCCTCCTCTTCCTAACTGTGCAACTTTGAATAAGTTACCCAACCTCTCTGTACTTCCATTTCTTCACAGTAAAATAGGCTCTGTGGTTGTGATAGGATTAAGTGAGTTAATACTGTATATGCAATTAATACACTGGAACAGGAAAGAAAAATAAGAGGCCTCCTGAGCTCTACTTCCTCCAATTTTTTCAGCTACTTTTCCTTCTAGAAGTACACAAAGCCCCATCTTGAAGATTTTTTGACACTTAAGCTTGGAGTTTCTCTGTTGCCGTCTCTTCCCCCGCCCCCCCTTGTTGGTACTAGAGTTTCAACTCGGGATTTTGAGCTTGCAGGAAAGCACTATACCTCTTGAGCTATGCCCCAGGCCTTTTTGGTCCTTGTCCCAAGTAGCTGGGATTACAGGCATGAGCCACTATGCTCAACAAGCCAAGTCTTAGGCATATCCCCTTCCTCCCCATTAGCCCTGGCTCGGGACGGTCTGGACGCCTGCATGTTTAACCAGCTATTTTACATGCATCCCAACTAGATAGCTTCTGTTGCCTGGCAACCAGGTGAAAAATTCAAGTTTACACCAAAACAGAACCTTCCTAAGCACAAATTAAAGGAGAGGGGTGGGAAATGAAATGTGTTAGGTGGGGGAGGGAAGAGGAATAAAGGAATTTTGTAAGTCACCACAGATTCATACAGCATATGGGCTTCACAGTCAGTGACAGAGTGAAAATATTTATTCTAAATTGTACCCTTCACAAAATCACCAAGAGAACAAAAGCAGGGAGCATGTTTACAATCGGACCAATCAAATTAGTGTTTAACCCACATCACCAAAAGAAAAACCCTGTACGGAAGACCTCTAGGGGAAAACACGATCAAGTTCATCAAATAGCTGAAGAATTTAGACATGCACAATAAGTGGATTTTTTTTAAAAACCCACTTCTTTGCAGTTTTGAAAATATTCTTTGTATCACTAGGCTTGGGGGGCAGGGGTGTAGACGTGAGGGGTCTCCTGGCCTCCCCACACCTGGGCTTTCTCCAAGTAGTGTGGAATTGAACTTGGAGTCTTGCTGTCTCTGCTCTTTCCTGATCCTTTCAGGGCGATGTGTGTCCAGTCTCCTCATTCCCTTCCTTGTTCCACAGCCACACAAAACAACTATCAAGTGCAAGACAGCCTGGGAAACACAGCACGACCTCCAGTGTGGTACCTGTCGCACTGATTAGATGCTATCGGTGTGCAGTGGGACCTGTTTGGGTTGGAAAGTTTAAAAGAGCCACTAATGGAAAGGCAGTTTTTCAGCCAAAAGCTGGAGGCAAAATCGAGAGAGAAAGAGAGAGAGAAATATATCCCTTTTTCCTCCAAGCTAATGGCATCACCTTCCTTGAAAAACCACCATAATGTTTTTGGGCAAATGCATTCAGTGCTTTGAGGAATCAGAGGGTGAACTGACCCCTTGGTTGGAGGGATGAAGCCCTGAGCCTAGGAATGCAGGCAGCCTCCATGAGCTGGAAAAGACAGAGGCAGCTTTACTTTACCATTCTTCTCTAGGGAGAAAAATGTTTCCTTTTCTTCCAGCTTCTAGTCGCTTCTAAATTCCTTGGCTTATGGCTCAGAATCACTCCATCTTCTGCTTCTCCTGATCACGTCTCTCTCTGACTCCGGCCCTCCTGCCCCTTCTTACTACGGCCTTTGTAAGTACATGAGGCCACCCAGATAGTCCAGGACAGCTTTACAATTCCTAACTCCATCATACCTGAAAAGCCCCTTTGCCATTTAAGGTAACATAGTCAACAGCTTCCAGAAATTAGAAACATGGACGTGTTTGGGGGTCATTCTTCAACCTACCATGGTCCACCCTCAGCCTCCAAAGATGCATAGCCACCCTCATGCAAAATACAGCCAGCTCAATTAACACACTTACAGAATTCATTCATTCATTCAGTGGGGAAATAATGAGGACCTGCTAGGTACTGGGCAGTGAAAGATTGACCAGCGGAACTCAAACGCCAGTGTAAGGAGAGACGTCTCTCCTTATGCTTACAACAAGGAAGCTTTAAAAATAATAAAAAGAATTCCAGCACTGATGGCTCACGCCTGTAATCCTGGCCACTTGAGAGGCTGAGATCTGGAGG